GAAGCGCACACATGTAAGAATATGACTGGCTAGCTATTTACTTAATGGAATCAGTTCAGATGCTAAGTACTCGTGCTCGGGGACCCGAATGAGTAGTCAGGTCGGGACCGAGCACACAAAAGCTAAGCCAATAGCTCATCGAGCCAATGAGGCAATTAATCTCCATGTTGGGTAGGTCAAGTGTCACATTGCGGTCGGTCCAGGTCGAAAAACGGTCCGAGTCTCAAAGCAGTTCGTACCCGACCAGGTCTTAGGCACAAGAAGAACCATAGACCAGGGTATATTCCCTATCATATAGTATATGTAATATTACCCAAATTTTGTCACGTATTTTAATTCTAATAGAAAAAGATTGGCATGCATGTCTTCAAGACCAACTCTAATACTACTTGTAAGATCCCAATTCGCAGTTCTCCTACTCATCTTATCTTAATTTGAGGAGGAGAACTACGAATTATGATAGATCTTAGGGTTTAAATTCCTTTATTGATGTTCAAATTGGGATCTTAATTTGAAAAGAACGAAAATACCCTTAATAATTTCATATTTCGACATGTCTTAAACGAATGGGGGACCATCGTGATAAATTTTGGTACTAAAATAATAGTTGTGTATGAAAATCGGTACTAAAACAATAGTCATGGATAAAAATTAGTAGGAATTAAACATGTGAACCAAAACTGTCATTTTGTTAATACTCGTGGGACCAAAAGTGACATTTGCTCGTGATGAAGGTTTAACCTCATATTCACATTGCCAACATAGTTCATCCTCGTAAAGTCAATAGCATGATCACATATAAATTTCAAAAGCTAAGTTAAAAGTCAAATTATTTATTAAATTGTTTTTTTTATTTAAAATATTTATTAAATTAATTTATAATGGCATACGTAATAATTTATTAATTACATTAATTGAATATTTTATAGATAAATAATGTAAGATGTTACATTAAAAAAAAAAATGTTATGATGGTATAACCACATTAAATTATAATTGTACATTGTGATAGGATGAACTTATCATCTATGGTTTATGTCAAAATAAGAAATATAATATATTGAAAGAGATGACCAGATAGGTAGAGTATGATTATTATAATTGAATGTCGTAACTCACAAGTTTAATTATTGTCAATATCTTTTTTATTAAACCAGTCACACGAGATTTATTCAGTACATACCCTTGTTGAGATATGTGCATCGTTTTTCTCTATTTCACTTCCTCTTATAGGTAAATATTATAGAGTTGTGCGCTGCATTGTGCTTACTTCCTAGTTCATAGGGGGTCATCCATCGTGTGACTGTTGTAAGTCAAGCACGCTTAACCACATAGTTCTTTGGCTATCTGGTTGACATATCCTACTTAAAACCAATTGGTGACAAGTATGTGAACATTAACCATTTAACCACATCCCTTCATGGTAAGCCACAACACCACGTCTTGAATCGTGCAAGGGCTGAACTCAGTCAACCCGACCGACGGCCAACATAATATTATTGGTGTAATTTGTTAAACACAATAATAACTAATAAAGTAATAAGTCCTAATAAATAGTCAAATACATAATGCATTAATTCATAAGTCAATAACATATTATTTATTACAAATAACAAATTATTTATACAATATACTAATTATATACTAATACTCCGTATTTTTTTTAATATAAATAAATAAATAAGCATATATTCTTATATATAATTATGTCAAATTATGTTTTTATATACACTAATAGTAATAATTTACACATACTAGGCGGGGTGTGCTAAATAGCCCGCCAATTTGACTGGCCATAAAATTTAAAACTCACCCCGCTCTTTGGGCTAAACATATTTTAACGACTCTAATTACCAACCATGATACTTTATCTTCAGTCGTTATATCGTGCAACGGGCCCCAAAACGACATCGTTTTGGTGCATTATCCAAAAATACACATAAACTCGTAACAGAATACACATAAACTCATAACTGAATACACATAATCTAACATGATACATAATACACAGGAACTCTTAACTGAATAAACAGAAACTCTTAACTAAAGACACAAAAACTCTTAACTAAATGCACAAAAACTCTTAACTGAATACACAGAAACTCTTAACTGAATATACATAAACTCTTAAGTGAATACACATAAACTCTTAACTGAATACACATAAATTCATAACACAATACACAGAAACTTTTAACTAAATACACATAATGGGATTTGGACCGTTTGGACGGACGGAGTGACGTCAACAATTAAAACACGCACATTTTGTACTTGGGCATACATTGCTATGTGCGCCATAGTGCACAATATAAATTGCCCTTTATCTTAGCCACTTTGCAATGGAGCTTCTTAACTTAGCTTAGTTAAGTGATTTTTTTTATTTCGAAATGTTTTCATATAAAAAGCATCTCATTTTATTTTTATTTATTTAAGCGTATAATTACTTAAACAAATTGGTGTTAGTTGTGTTCATTCATAACAATACATGCGTCCCTTGATCCAAAAGTTGACAACTGCATATACTTCTAACAAGATAAATCTTACAGAAGGTATGTATTTTAATTGATTAGTTGTTATCAAATTGGTAATCCCTTAATATAGTAACCTATTAATTAAAGTTTGCTACTTTAAATAAGATTCATTCAATATAAAAGCACATCAAGCATTTCCCCCATCATTATTGTAAGCATCATGCACCTCTTTTAACCTACATTGCTTTAATTCCCCTCCCCTTAGTCCCCTACCTCTCTATGCAAGAAAGTATATTACACTCTGAGGATTATGTTTAAAGTGAACAGATCATTTATGTGCATCGATACTTGGTCTTGTATGTTAAGTTATTGAGTCACTGTAATTTACTCATCTTTTCAAATATTCTGTCGGGTCGGAGTGTGAAGTGCTCTTAGAGTTGGAGATTCAACTTTTAGGGAGAAGATTAGAGAAGAAGAAAGTATATTACGGGTTAGCCAGTTAAGACACGTTTTATGATTTACTTCGTCCATCAATTTTCAATGCACAAGCGGCAATAAACTTCACCTCAAATTGATGATGATGATGATGATGATGATGATAATGATGATGATGATGATGATGATGATGATACAATACTAGGTGAAATAAATTCACATATAGTAAATAATAAATTAAATATTTATTTTTTAAAGTACTAAATTTATCTATTAAATTGAGAAAACAATGTGATTGATAAAGTAGTGTAATTAAGTTTTATTGTTATTGTTATAGGATCAAACACACCAAAAGATAGAGCTCTTGGTTAAAGTACCTACGAGGTCCCTGTACTATAACGTTTTGTTCAATTTAGTCCTTATACTTTTATTTTGTTTAATTTAGTCCATGTACTTTCAAAAGTAGTGCAATTAAGGACAATAGTTAACGATGTTAATATTATCGTTAACTTAGGTTACGTGGCACTGATGATATTTATATTCCTACTCATATATTACTTTATAAATATTTAAAATCTATCATTTTACCACCAATATATTAAATTAGTATGTCCAAAATAAATAATTACGACCATGTTTGTAATGAGATTTAGACAATTGTCCTTAGTTTTACCACTTTTTTAAAGTAGAGGGACTAAATTGAACAGAATAAAGGTACAAGGACTAAATTGAACAAAACACTATAGTACAGGGACTTCATAGGTACTTTGACCGCTCTTAGCCTCTTAGCGAATATGTAACTTTTTTTTTTCTTATACTGCCTTCACATTTTCGAGAAACATAGTGATAGACTTGACCTTTCACCATCCTCCGCTCAATAATCTTCTTAGTTACCAATTACTGAATTTGGTCATTCACCGTCGTTTGCTCAATAATCTCTCTAGTCGCCAATTATTACTCAATTTACCCATTCACCGACTTTTACCTAATAACTATCTGTTCAGAATATCACCATTGATTTGTTTTCCTTCAACCTTTACTTGTTCAAAAGAAGGCCAGGGGTTCAAGTCCTATCCCAAATTTTTATATTTTCACCTCCAAATTTAATGAGTAAATACCCAAAATGGTCCCTCGACTATAGCTAAATTCAGAAATTGGTCCTCCACTTTCAATTTCAACCAATTAAGTCCTTAACTTTGCAATTTTGACACGATTTGGTCCTCCATCAATTTGACCGCTTGTTGATCGTGATTCTCTGTCCAACAAGAAGCATGATTCGGGTTGGGCCCATTACCGGTTCATGCACGTGGTCCTCATTCACAAGGGCACCGACGACAAAGCCTACTGCTACGTTTACGAGTAGGAAGATCTGCAAGGGAAAGTCGGAATCAACCTCTCAAAGACCGTCGGCGAAGCCCTCAAATCCAACATAACCACAATCGGCTCGCTCGTTCTCCCGGTGTTGGAGCAACTCCTCTTCCTCTTCACCCTAATCGGTCAGAAAATCTTCAATTCCATATGGAAAACCTACATTCCCAAATTCAAACAGGCCCTCGAACACTTCTACATCAACGCCGGCGGTCGCGCCGTCATCGACAATCTCCAGAAGAACCTGCAGCTCTCGTCAGAGCACGTGGAGGCCTCCAGGATGATGTTGCACCGATTCGGAAACACGTTGTCTTTTTCGCTCTGGTACGAACTCAACTACACTGAATCCAATGGGAGGATGAAGAAAGGCGACCGAATTTGGTAGATTGCTTTCGGCAGTGGATTCAAATTAACAGTGCGGTCTGAAAATGCAACCGGAACCTTAAAAAATCGACGATGGACCATGAAATTACAAATATTTCCTCAAAAATCACAGTCAACAAACGGTCAAATAGACAGAGGACTAAATTGTGTTAAAATTACAAAGTTAAGGACTTAATTGGTTGAAATTGAAAGTTGATGACCAATTTGTGAATTTAGCTATAGTCGAGGGACCATTTTAGATATTTACTCTTTATAAATAATGTCACGTAAGAATGTGAACATTATTGGTTTTTTTTTTTTTTTTTGAAAAAATTATAAATTTTCTATAAGAAGAAAAATAATAAATAAAACATATGATTTGGACACACCTAGAAAATTCTTGATTACCCCACCCCTACACACACCTTCACGAGACAAAAACAAATTATGGAGCTCACAAATTCACAAAGTAACAACATTCCTAACAACTCCTCTTCCACCTCCGTCGTCGCCACCGCTCCTCAGCCCTTCCACCGCCACCAACATGGCAGCGTTCGACCGTCGTCGGTCCCTTTTATCACCTCAATCTCCATCCAAGCCGCCGCAGCCGCAGCTCATCAGGCACCTCATGCTTCAACCTTGTCGTCTACTTCATCCGTCAGCGCTTCTACCACCGCAGCTCCGCCATCGCGCCTTGTAGACGCGTCCCTCGCCATAGCCACTAGATCGGAGCCGTTAGTTGAGCCGTCGGAGGAGCCGCAGCAGCAGCAGGCGGTTAAAAGGCCGACCAAGGATCGCCACACCAAGGTGGACGGCCGAGGGCGGCGCATCCGCATGCCGGCGGCTTGCGCCGCTAGGGTTTTCCAGCTGACGCGGGAATTGGGGCACAAGTCCGACGGCGAGACAATTGAGTGGCTTCTGCATCAAGCCGAGCCGGCTATCATCGCCGCCACCGGCACCGGCACCATTCCGGCTAATTTCTCCACGCTCAACGTCTCCCTCCGCGGCGGCGGCGCCGGTCTCGCGGCACCGCTTTCGAAATCGGCTCCGTACCCTTTTCACAGCACATTAGCGCTCGCGACGGCGGCGGCGGCGGCTCACCCTTACGAAGAAAGCTTCTCTCACATGCTGGGGTTTCACCATCAACACGCGCCTCCGCAGCTCTTAACGCCGAGCCAAATCGCAGAAACAATATCCGCCGCAGGCGGCGGCGGCGGCGGCGGAGGAGGAGGAGGAGAAGGCACGACGGAGGATTACCTGAGGAAAAGGTACAGAGAAGATTTGTTCAAAGACGAAGGTGCTTCAAGTAATCCTCAAGGAGAACCTTCTGGAAACTCCACCTCACCTTCCAACAAACAATTCAAGGGCGGCGCCTCCGCCTCCGCCGCCGCCGCAGCCGGAGCATTTCCTAGTATTCTCCGACAAACCACCGCCCCTATGCCGGGAACCACCATGTGGGCGGTTGCTCCGGCACCGAGCAGCGGCGGCACATTCTGGATGCTGCCGTTCACCGCCGGCGGCAGCGGCGAGAGCGGCCAAGCCCTCCCCGCCCCCGCAGCGGAGAGCACTTCCGGCGGCGACTCCCCATCAGAGACCCAGATGTGGTCGTTCCCCAACAACAATTCAAACCAAACTCTCCACTCCCACTTACAGTTCACGCCGCGCTTCAATAATCTCCCGGCGGCGAACCTCGATTTCCACGCGCCGCCGCCGTCGCACCATCTCGGCCTAGGAATGTCGGACGGCAACCTGGGCATGTTAGCAGCTTTCAACAATGCTTATTCAAGAACACGAAATGGCCCGAATATAAATTCAGAAGAACAACCACAACAACAACAGCAACATCAAGCTCAAGATGACAGTGATGAAAACGAAGGCGAAGACAACGATCCTAACAACTCCTGCACCTGATAATCCCAAAATTGAATCAATCGGTATATATTCTTAATCAAAAACACATAATTTTCCCAATTTTATCATACATTTGTCCACTAAAAGCGAAATTCCTTATTCTGACGCTACAGTCAGACCAGACATGATTTGTGAATGTGCTAAATTACGATGATTTAGTGACCCATTAGATAGGATGGTCAGTGTTTGGTGTCTACCATATTTGGTATGACTTCCACGCTGTGACTATCCGGGCTTATCTGTATCTTTGTCCACGAAAACGAAATTTCTGGTTCCGTGACGCTACCTAAATTACGATAATTTAGTGACCCATTATGTAGGATGGTCAATGTTTGGTGTCTACCACATTTGATATGACTTCCACGTTACGACTATCCGGGCTTATCTGTATCTTTGTCCACGAAAAGTGAAATTTCTGCTTCCGATGCTGCAGTTAGACCAGACATGATTTGTGAAGGTGCTAAATTACGATAAATAGTGACCATTTAGGTACTTAGGAATCAATTGAAGCTGTCCGTATAATTTTCATACTATGACTACTCAGGCTTGATCATATTCTTGCCCATAATCTGTTACTCGGGAATTAACTACTTGTGCCTTCATACTGCCTTTGCTTGAACATTGCAGATGTGTCATAGTGTGAAAGATTGAAGTTGCTTGAACTACTGAATTCAGGTATGCAGGATTGCAGGTTTGTCTGTCATCATTATATATGATTCTTGTTTTCAGATTGAGAGAGAGTGAGAGTGATGATAATTTGTATAGGAAGATAGTGAGCTGTGATCTGTACTGGTATAAAGATTAAAGAAAATGCAAGAAAGTTGATTTTACAGTGCATTTTTTTCCCCACAAGATTCCATCTTTTCTCCAGGCTGATTTCTTCATTCAAGCTCAGATTTTGGAAACCCATTCATTCCTTCCCAGAAATCAGGCAAAAATTTAGCAGTGATTTTGAGATCTCTCTTCAATTTCAAAGGGATTTCTTCTGTCTGAGAGTGACTTGTTTTGTACTGTGTTTGATTCTACAGTCCATTCATGTGATAGTCACACATTGTTTTCACTGCTCCAACATTTTCTTCTAGCTTTGTCCTATGGTTTTGTCCCCTTGCTACCCTATCTTTTGGCTATTTCCACTTTATACATGGAATAGTTTTTCATGAGTTTTTACATGTGTGATTAGAGAGAGAAAATGAGAGGGAAGAGAAAACAAAAAATAAATAAATAAATAAATAAATAAATAAATAAATAAATATATATATATATATATATATATATATATATATATATATATATATATATATATATTAACGCGCCTAGTAGGTGTGTGGTGGGTCTCACTTTTTCCGCAAGAACTAATTTTATGATCTCTCCTCACACTCTCTCCTCCAAGGTTGGAGTAAAAAATAGAAATATGTTTAGTATTACTCTTCTACTTGTATCATTATATATATAGTTTTTTTTTTTTTTTTTGGAGGGGGGTGGGTTTAAAGTAGTCAAATTTTTCCATGTTTGTTGTTGAGTATTTGTTGGTAGTTCTACCAATATTTATTTTTAGAAATATTTTCTATGATGTCATATTCTTCATCTTTAATTTGATACTTCATTCACAAATTATGGGTGTTTGATAATCACGTGAAACTAGTAACTTGGAGTTGAGCTATTGTTAAACTCTATATAAGGAAACTACTTAGGCACACTCTATAAAAAAAAAAAAAATGAATACAACAAATATGTTTACTTGTATATTTTATATTTATAAAATAGTTCAACTCTTGTAAAGGGGTATTATGTTAAAGAGCTTTAGACAAGTGTGACTCGCTGAAATTAGAGGGATATTAAATATTGTATGCAAAAAAAAAAAAAAAAAAAAAAAAAATTATGTAAATGTAATGCAAACATTTCTAACTGGATAAAGTTTTCATTTTTATGAAGAAATTGAAGATGGAAGAAGCAAATTGTCTCACGGATCCTTATTCGTGAGACGAATCAGGTCAATGTATAGATATAATACTTATATTAAAAAGTTAATAACCAAAATGATTCATCGACTATGTCATAATTACCAATTTGGTCCTCAACTATCATTCTTACACGATTTAGTCCTCAATTATGTAAAATTTACCCAAATTAGTCCTTAGTTAAATTTTCTGTTTGTTAAACGTTAAACTTGAAGGCAAAATTGTCATCCTACGAACTTTCTTCTTCTTCCCTATTAAACAACGCCAACCATACAACATTGCAACAGTAGTTCAGAATCACCACTCCACCAGACCTTGCGAATTCATTGCCTCATCTCCACGCCCCATGGGACGCCTGAAAGGCTCTTAGGGACGATTGCAACAACATGTTCTTCACCATTGCACCACCACTGCATTTTCCGGTAAGAACACCATGTTCGATAGCTCCGCCCCGTGCACCCCGGCCATCAGGTCAAATCCGTTCACCAATCTCGACACTATGCTCATGTTCCCGTCTGTTTCTTGTACGACAATCTTAAAGCCTATGTTTTCGGCCGCGGCGGAAACCTCACCTGCGTTCAAGCCGCCTAGTTTTGTTCCTCGCTATCACGAGTAGCCGCGACGGCGACGGCGGCTGCAATTTCTCTTTTGCGATAATATTATCCCTTTTCAGGTCGTAAGCGTTTCTCAAGAACGCCATGAAGTTTTTCATGTAAATATGATCTGAAGAGACGACGTTGATGCTGAACTCCTTGTTGGCTTTTAACCCGACGATGATTCTTGGAAAACAAAGGACGACGTTTTCGCCGTCTTTTTCCCGGTTGTCGAAGTCTACGATTTCGTATCTCGACAACCTTTGCAACACTTCCTTAAATTTGTTGGTCCACCTCGGCCGCCTTTTATCGTCGGTGACCAGAAACTGTACTTCTCCGTCGAACTCCCATGACGTTAGGTAGAGAGGGATGATGAGATCGGTGAAGAGGTTTTCGGCGAAGCCTCCGGTGGGGACATCGTACTTTGTGGTGCAACGTCGGATGCGTTGGTTAAAAAGGTGCACCTCCGCGATGGTCAGGTTCCGAACCCTCCTCAATGCGTATTCGTCGCCTTTTCGAGCATAGGGTCTTATGGTCCACGACGTGGTAGTATGTACGTTGGGAACGACAAAAATGGTGGATGAGTTGCTGATAACATCCCAGATTCACCGGCTGTTGTCGTTGTTTAATAGGGAGGAGGAAGAAAGCTCGTAGAATGACAATTTTATCCTCAATTTTAACATTCAATAAATAGAAAATTTAATTAAGGACTAAATTAGGTAAATTTTACATAGTTGAGGACTAAATCGTGTAAGAATGATAGTCGGGGACCAAATTGGTAATTACGGCATAGTCGAGGGATCATTTTGGTTATTAACTCTATATTAAATTAGATGTTACTTATGAGGACAAATGAAATATTTTTATATTGCGATGTAAAAGAATTACTTTTTTCATCAAAAATATTATATTTTCCCTTGTGAGTAATGTTGCATTTATAAAGAAAAATGTAATACTTTTACATCAAAATGTAAAAATATTATATTTTTCCATATAAGTAATAAACAAATATTTTTTCATATAAGTAATAAACATTTTATTTTTGATTTAGTATTTACATTTTTTTTTGTCAGGCAGCTCAGCTCAATTAAAGGGCAAAGTACTGACCAAATTAGTTTTTCCATACGAGAGGAGATTCGAACTCTTACCTCTCTTAAGGGATGAGAGTGCATGGTTACTCATGCCAACTAAACTGGTTATAAATATTACATTTAATTTTGTCCGTGAGATGGTCTCACACAATTTTTTTCTTTTACTAATAATAATATTTTCTCTATCTTAATTTTATCTCTTCATGTGTCAATAAATTTCATTTTATTTATGGATTACTTTAAATTGGCTGACTCACCAATTTTTTTTAAAAAATTATTTATTAATCAAATATAAATGTGAAAATAGAAAAAGGATGTAGCAATATTCATTTTTTGAAAATTTTGAAAATAGAAAATGAAAAAAAATAGAACAAAAAATAAAAAATAAACTAAACGCCGGACTTAATTTAAAATTTCAAACTCGAGAATTTTTAAAGGAGAATAACTTTTTTCACTCGGATTATGTTACAAGTTGTGGTATTGTTGTCCTACTTTATAAGAAATTATGCCCCTCATATTCTATCCTTTCCCATTATTTTGACAAAGCTCAATACATAATAACTATTCTGTTAGGCATAAAATTCCTTTTTTGAGGATATATATTATGCGGTTCAAAATCGTACAAACTCCCCCATTTTAATGGTTACAATGCAAGTTAATCTCACTTCAAGCACATCCACTTTGATATACGAAAAAGTCTGTAATCTATCGCTACTTGAATGTGCATTTTAATGAAATTCATATTGTTATTATAGTTGAAAAAATCATAAGGTAAAATAGCTTAAATTGTCAATAACTGACTGATTCAAATCAAAAATGCTAATAAGTAGCTTATACGTAGAGTAAAATTTGAAATATTATGGTTCCTAAACGCCTTCACGACAAATTATGCAACTTGTGTATTTTTTAAAGAATTAATTTAATTTTCTTTTTAAATTCTTTCATATAATGCGATATTTTCATTTAGAGTCATTGATTATCAATTTATTTATTTTACTTTTTTCGTATCAATTATATTTAATTCAAAATGTCTAAAAATAATGATGGGTTTTTTTTATGGGGGTGGGACAGTTGGATTAAATTTAATTGATTTGAAAAAGTTAAAAGACAAAAAAAAAAAAAATGAAAGTGGTTAAATAGGAGAAATGACCTTATGAATAAAATTTGGAAAAATGATAAATGTATTTTTAATGAACAAAATTCTTCCTACATTAATAAAAAGAAGAAAATGAGAATGTGTAATTAATGCACCAACCTGGCCTAACTAAAGCACTTGTTAGGAATGACAACAAGACAAGGTAGGGAGTATACTCTTTGTTCCTAAATTCTCACCTCGATCCTTGTTTCCACTGAGAAATGAAAATATTTCTCCATTATTGTTCTTGGTCAACTTTAGTACAAGGGTCACATTTGTGTTTCGTGGGATGTGTCAGGTCGGAACGGGACGGGTCAATATGAAAATATAATATTTATATTAAAAAATATAATACTAATTATGAATAAATTGTTTATTACTTATAAGAGAAAATGTAATACTTTTAAATTAAAATGTAAAAGTATTACATTTTATCATATAAGTAATAAACATTTTGGGTGTGTTTGGTTGATAGGTTTTGTCCATAGGAATGTATATGAAAGTGATTGTTATTGTTTGGTTGATAGATTTTTAGAATACTACTATGAGTTTCAAATACCCCATCAATTGAAAAACTCATACTCAAATAAATTAAGGGTTTCATTCCCTTATTCATTATCAAGCACTACTATTAGTAACAATTCTCATTCCACCCTACTACCAAACATGTTAAATATTTTCACTAAGACCCATTACCATTACCAAGTATTTGATACCCATTCGGATTCCGATATCCATGTGCGAACCAAACACACCCTTTATTCTTTATTAGTATTACATTTTTCAATATAAGTATTACATTTGATCTTAACTCGAATCGTCTCACGAACAACTGACTTATCAGTGTCCGTCATATCAAAAAATAGAATTTAAAAAGTATGATTTAAAAATTTATGCAGTATAACTCTGATGGAATTAATTAAACCGGGGGTCCGTGTTAATTAACCCAATTAATAAATAAACATCTCCATTGAGAAAATATAGATGATAAAAAGGATTGCAGGGAATCAATAAATAAGAAATAAATATGCAGGACACAAAGATATTTAACGTGGAAACCAATACGGTAAAAACCACGAGCCTTTTTGGGCTAAGCCAAGCCGAAATCCACTAGGTTGTAGGTGTAGTACATATACATAGATGGCCATAGCCATGGAATTGGTTGAGAGAAAGAGTATGTATAAGAGATGTTTATATTTGAGACTAGCCTCCATTGTCTGTAGCCCGGAGCCTTTATATAATACTATTTGTACAGTTGTAACTTCCCGTAGCCTTCCCTCTTTTCTTGCCATGATGACCTCTTCTCTTTGACTAATATATTATTATTATTATAAAATAATAATAATAATAATAATAATAATAATAATAATAATAATAATAATAATAATAATAATAATAATAATAATAATAATATGACATGTATATTATATTATTCCATCATGAGTCCCCCACTTTCTTAACTGCAAGTATTTGTCAGTATAAGAAAGTAGAAACTGATGTTCACCCAAATAAAAATGACACTCGGAGTGCATCCTTAACGAGCAGTGTAGTCTGGACTACATGTTTGTGCGCAGAGCACCAAGGTATGTTTGTACGCGGAGTACCAAATTAAAGTATGTTTGTGCGCGGAGCACCAAAGTTTTGACTTCCCTGCTTGGAGCATTGAAGATGATAATGAGACTCACGGTCAGGTACGCGGAGTACCTAAGGGTTCATTACGGTCATTTCCTGTAATTGCCATATGACAAATGATTAGCGGGGCATGCCCTTAGTATTTGTTTAAATCTGAACTTAAAAGTGAAGATAGGTTCGGAAATCCCTATATCTTCCTTTAATATAATGTGACCCACACGAAACTTATTCGTTGAAACGATAGTTGTAAGAGGTAGCGCAGAGCTTACCTTAATTTAGGTGGCAACGCAGGGCTTGTCTTGAAATACAATTGGTAGCACAGAGCGTACCATATCATATTATGTGAGTGGCAGCACGGAGCTTGCCAAATTATGATGTTGTTCGAATAAATTAGCGGTTGACCACATCAAATTATTAAATTATTAAATAATAATAATAATAATAATCATAACAATAATAATATAAAGAAATCTAATAATTAGAGAAACTTATCTCGTAGTAAGAGTTAAGGTTGTTCACTTGCTTGGCAGAGATGAGACGGTGAGAGAGGATCCGACGAACGTAACTCGGACTAACTTCAATATAATAGGATCGTTGGGTAGACCAGACCAACGTATATGGAATATGTCCATAATAGGCTCTTCCATTAAATGGTGAGCAGGGGCGGACCCTGTACCACCGCTAAAGAATGCAAGGTTGAAGCCGGCGCGCACGATCACAACCATAGATTGAATACTTTGTTCATGGCTAAGTGATGTTGGACCTCATTATAACATCAGTAGAGAGAATCAATGCCGACGTCGAAAAATAATCACATGTTAGAGGTGGCCTTTATCTCCCTGTTGGCACTTGCCAGCATGGAAACATTTCTTCTAGATCAATATTGAGCATCCAGATAAGCGCTATGAATTAGCTCACAACGAAGTTGGCTTGTGAATGGGCAAAGGCCAGCATTAGGATCAATTACGTTCCCCCTATGGCCTATACTAGTATATCAGAACCTCCCAAATTGACAAACTAATTAAGGCCTGCGATGCTGTTCGCCGTTTCCTGCAGCCTTCTCATCTGTATCCTCAGACGCGGAACAATTTCGGAAGACACCATTTTCATTTAATTTCGTTTTGGTTTTCAAAGAACAGATTCGCCAATGTCACCAACGCATTCACTAGGAAGAGAACAATAATAAGAAACAAGAACATTGCCATCGTGGGCGTGTGTTCCTTAGCTTGATCTTCATAGCCATGGTGGTGGCTACTGCGATCGGTATTACTACATCCCAGAAAGCCATGTAAGCAGCGTGCCATTGTACTACTCGCAAACAAACTTGCATCAACAGCCTCTCTGAATCAAATTAAAGAATATATATAGGAGTTTGGACACAAGAGAAACGCCATTGTAAGGGTCTTGCCCCTCCCCACTTTTGCAGCTAGCGTTTCTCTTTTCCTCTATATTCGCCAGCGGCGCGCCGGAATCTCCGTGGCGCTCATCAACAGATTCAGGAGCGGTTCTTCTTCCACTAAGCCAGCCCGGGGATGATCTACATCCTGGTGGTAGTCGCAGTAACTCTCACCTTAAAGGTCTGGGAGAGGTGAAGATCCTCCGAGAGGAATCGCCTTCTGACCTCATATTTATCGTCTGCGCACGGGAGATCGTGGGGCCGTTGGGATTTCCTGGGACTACCGGATGGGGTAGAGGTTCCAGTGAGCTCCTCGTACGACAAATAAAGCAATGTCCGTGTTAATTAACCCAATTAATGAATAAACATCTCCATGGAGAAAATATAGATGATAAAAAAGATTGCAGGGAATCAATAAATAAGAAATAAATATGCGAGAAACAAAGATATTTAAAGTGGAAACCAATACGTTAAAAACCACGAGCCTTTTTGGGCTAAGCCAAGCCAAAATCCACTAGGTATCCACTAGGTTGTAGGTGTAGTACATATACATAGATGGTCATAGCAATGGAATTGGTTGAGAGAAAGAGTATGTATAAGAGATGTTTATATTTGAGACTAGCCTCCATTGTCTGTAGCCCGGAACCTTTATATAATACTATTTGTACAGTTGTAACTTCTTGTAGCCTTCCCTCTTTTCTTACCATGATGACCTCTTCTCTTTGACTAATATATTATTATTATTATAAAATAATAATAATAATAATAATAATATGACATGCATATTATATTATTCCATCAAACTCATTAATTGATTAGGCAATCTGAAATTATGAAAAATTGGAGTGTCTTTATTCACATTAGGCATTGCCGTGCGTGCGTGCACCGTCCTCCATTATAACCTCAATCAAAGAATTTAGATGGCATATCTTCACTTTCTCACTTGAATACCTCACAAAGATATTTCTATTGTGCCAGGCACTTTGTGCTCATATGACACATCTGTGGCTTCCCTTAAGGGAAGATCACATGATCGAATTTTGGTGATGGAGTATTGACTCTTTGGGCAGCAGATTACAGTAGTTAAATAAAATATAAAACAGAGAATAAATTAAAATTTTAAATTTCATTATTTGATAGACTAGAATAGAATTATTGTAAATTATAGTGTTTCTTATATTAGTATATATGTGAATTGAAATGAAAGAAATGATATAAATATTGTCAATGACCTTGTGGTCTAGTGACACGAAGTGACTCAAGTTGTTATGAACAGTTACATTTGTAACAAAGTCAATAGTACTAGAAAAATGATATAAAGATTAAAATGACATTATTATATAATGATAATATAAAGCAAAGCAATAACTCAACAGGGTAGCTCAAGTGGCGAAGTGGAGCTCTTCCGGGATAATCTAGATTCGATTCTCACAAGTGACAATTCTTTTTTGGCCAACTTTTATGCCTCCCGGAACGAACGAGTATTAGTCAGGTGGATTTGAACGACTGAACCAATGCAAAATTATCATCTCAATAAAGAAGTTAAGTTGTGTCATGTTAACACTTTCTTGGTCAATCACATCATACCAAGAATAAATTTATCAAATGCACATTATTGAATAATGAGTTTGTAATTATTAAATTTAAAAAAAAAAAAAAAAAATCTTACGCTTTTTGGAAGAAAGAACTTTATTGGGTCTGCGACTGTGTTCATATTTATCCGCGATTTTCGCAGTGACAGTCTCCGCACTTTTACACTTTTGGTACGGCGGGAATGTATAAACAACCAAATCTTACGGAGTAGAATTTAATTTAGAAAAATGCATTTTTCTTCTTTTTAGTGGCGCTGTGGGAACAACCTCTCAAATTGATTGGAATTTTTTGTACGCAGTGAGCAAAGGTCTAGCCTCTGTGGTTCATGTTCAGTTGTGGGAGCAACCTCTCAAATTGATTGGGATTTCTTTGCGCAGTGAGCAAAGGTCTAGCATCTGTGGTTCATGTTCAGTTGAATGTGAATTATCATAATTTATATCCTCCCAAATGCTCTGTCGAGTCGGGGTGTAGGGAACCCTCAGGTTGGAGTTCAGTCTTTTTGGAAGAATACAATATATATTAGAGATCATATAAGAACCGACCTCCTCAGTAGTTCATTAGAATCAATCTCATCAATTAAAAACTAAATCTATGGATAAGATTAATTGTGATATTAAAAAGACATGTGTCCATATTAGGCATTATAATGTGTGCATATTAAGCATATCCCTATGTTGCACACAACACATGCTTAATATGCGCATATCATAATGCCTAATATTCACACACACGTTTTTAATCTCATCCATAAATCTATTTTTTTAATAGATGAGATTGGTTCTCATGGGTGTGTGTATATATATATATATATATATATATATATATATATATATATATATATATATATATATATATATATATATATATATAGAGTCTCGTTCAGGTGTGAACATTGCTTAAGATGTGAACGTGTGAATTATTTTCGACCGTTCCTTTTTTTACTGATGGACGGTTGTGAGCTTGGGTGTAGGCCTTACGATGTGCATGCTTCGCACTGTATCTCTTTTTATGTGGGTGGGTTTTGGTGCGATACTCCTGTTCACCGTACACATCTGGTCCGTCTCATCCAAATTTCCGTCCTAGGACTTTTCCACTCCAACTCTACTCTGTCGATCAATTCTCCAATTCCAGCTCATGGCGAGGTCGGATGGTGATCGCTGGTCGAAGCGGGGTACGAGCGGCCATCAATTAACGCCCGCGACCCCTCCTGCTACCAATAGCCTTAGGATAGGGTATGCGTCGCGGCCCTTTAAACGAAGGCTTCGCCGTCGTGTTTCTAGCTCCGGTGGACGGGACGATGTCGGCCGGAAGGCGTCAGGGATAGCAGCGAGGGTTGCTGCACGGAGGAGGGCGAATCAATGGGGTGGGGGGGGGGGGCAAAAAGGTTAGTTCTGCGTGGGGGGGGGGGGGGTGGTTCTGAGTGTGTTTGCCCTATTGGGGGTCGTTTAGACAGTTAATTCCCTCTTGATTTCAAGGTGATAAACACCTGAAAGAAACCATTTATGTATTTTAGATTAGAAATATTGTCAAGAATAATAAAATGCAGAATACTGTTCTATGGCAGTCATATGTTTCCATTTACCATAAACATATATATATATTTTATATAGGGCTTAGGGCCTTCTACTGATATTATTATTTCTTTCCTTATCAAGAAGAATACTTCCTAATTTAAGAGAGGAAAAGGTTTAATTAGTCAAAGTTGATATTCAGACCTCTTGAATAGACTGTAGAGTCTGCAACATGTATTCCTTGATTTATGGATGGATATGCATATTGTTATTGTATTGTTAAAAAATGTACACCAGTGATGCCATGTTTTAAATTAAAAGTACCTGAGTGCAGTGGTTTGCATTCCTGTTAAAATAGCCGAGTGCAGTACTAGTCTTCGGGCTTTTAGTTGTTATCAGTTTTCAGATTTACCATATCTAGTAATGCAATTATATTTACTATGGCCTTTACATTGCTTAGAGGTCTACAGTTTTGATACTATGCCATTATTGTTTAAATGTAATTTGCTGACTTTGTATTATCAAAAATAGTGATGCAAGTTTGTTTAATAGGTTGGATATCAACTCCAGTGGTGCTCATGGGCAGTGTTTGTTCTGTGCAGGCTATAATAACCAGCAGCCAGTTCTGCTAAGTGATGATGGGAGCGGTTCAAATGATGAGTTCCACACCCCACCGCTAGTATTGGACGGGGGCGTGGTGTGCGGGGTAACACGTGTGGAGCGTTCAAGCAAAGGCCAGTTCAACGCGCTGGGATCGCCGAAGGATCTTGCAAACCTTGTGCAAGCTCTAACTCCAATTGAGCCCGGGGATAATGTGGTAAGCATTCCAATTGAGCCCTATGTGGCTGTTATAAGATTATGTATGTCTTAGACAGTTTCCCTTTTTGCTATGTTATATGTTGTCTGTTGTGTTGGGTGGTGGTGCAGGGGGTTGGCCATAGGCGTTCAGAAATCACTGGTGAGCTGATTTCGGTCACTACGCGAGTTGTTGGCCTGTTTTCCCAGCACCCCAGTAGAGCTTTGGAAGAATGCGATTACCAGAGGGTCGTGGACTCGATCAAAATGTTGGAAAGGGTTGTTCAGAGGCCAGCACCGCCAGTGCCTATTCTGTCACCGGTTAGTAACGAAGAATCGTTATGGTTCGATGCAGACTTTCTAAGGGAGCTGGATCAAGCCGAGTTGGCTGCAACCAGGGCCATTGGCATGTCCGATGTGCCTAGTTTTAGTCTAGGGCTGACTCAGGAGTTTGCAAGAGTAGGGCAGGCGGCCAAGAAGGGCAATCAGGCGGATACTGTTGCACCACCGTTGTTGCAGGTAGACTGCGTTCATATGGTAGAGGTACTGTAAGTTCTGTTGCTAATTCTTTACACAAACATACGTAGGCACCAGCCCCGCGGGGGGTAGACGGGACAAATCACAAAGGGAAGGAACCACTTGTGGAGTTTGCAAGGCCGGTGCAGGCGGACAAGAAGGGCAATCAGATGGACACCGTTGCACCACCAACGCTGCAGGTAGATTGTGTTCATATGTCTTAGGTATTGGTTGTTCTGAGGCTAATGCTTTACACGAACATATGTAGGCACCAGCTCGGCCACAACGTGTGGGACTCACAACGCAGTTTGCTGCACCATGCATAGCCACTCGGCGGGTAGACGGGGCAAATCATAAAGGGAAGGAACCACTTGTTATGCACGACCAATCTGCTGGCATTTTCTTCGACACCACATATGGGTACCCATCTATTCCGCTGCCGCACGTGTATGTTGTGTGGATGTGGGTATTTAGGTGCTCCCAGGGGGACCGGTAAGTGGTTTTAATGCATCTGCACTCTCGGGGGGGGGGGGGGGGTGTGGGTGGGGTTGGGGTGTTTGTAAATTTATGCGTATAATATTCACACGTTTTCATTATGGCTTTTGGTTTGTAGCAACGAGGTCCTATTCCAACACGGTGACCGGACGGTCAAGTGGCCACAAATGCAAACGTTGAGGGAGGTGACGGTTCTGTCTAAGACTGTAGTCGATGCTTGGTGTTGTGTCATGAATGCCCGGGAGGCAGCTAACAGTGCTGGTGACCTGACCCGCTTGTTTTTACCGACCAGCACGACGGTAAGCATCTTGGTGCACACCCATGATTTTGTGGATTTCAAACTCAAACTAATTACTGCTTGTGCTATGCATATTGGGACTGTGGTTGGCGTCTCATCGAGCGAGGAGGAGAGGGTGGCTTGGTTCGAGAAGCGCATGGACGGGGTGTTGCAAAGTATAGGACGTCGGGGGACGGCCGACATAGATTTGGTGAGTTTCCCTGCTCGGTAAAATAATTGCCACACCGCCTACCGCCCATGTTTTAATAATCGTTTAAAATGGCAATGCAGTTCATTTTCCCGATTTTTGACAATGGCACATACTACATGATGGCCATTAACTTCAAGCATTACCGTTTTGACATCATCGACAGCTCGTCGGCGAAGAAGCCTAACAAAGAAATGTATCGTGGCGCTCCGGAGGAGCTGGTATGTGTCTCTATTCTCCGAAATATATGTTCACGCCCTAGCGTTTTATGCCGGCTATGTGTGCTGCAAATTTCTGCAAATTATTGGCGTTCACAGTTGTGAGCGATTTAATGGATTATTATTAAGTTCGTTACTCTGCGAATTTGATTTTATTCCTCTGTGTTTTACGGTACGTTGGTGTATAATTTTCTGCTTTTAAATCTATTAGATTAGTGTTAGAAATATAGGTATGTTTTTTTAATTTGTTTCATTCATTTTGGAAGTTTAGCTTTATTTTTAGCTTAAATTTTTGATGTACTGGGTGGAAACTATGCATGATGCATTTTTCTTAAGTGCAAACTCTGTTTAGTTCTCATATGTTCGCCTTCTGTACACTGTTTGCACTTTAAGTGCTGTCATTTGTTATCCATAAATATATTAAAGGGGTGTGTTCGGTTTTCGGTGATTATTGGTGCAGATAACATGCCTTGCTGGTTTCTTGGACTCTAACCTCCAGCCTCTTCGCGCTGCACGCCTTGAAAACATGAAACCCAAGAGGATGCAGATGGCGTGGAGGGATATGACTTCTACGTCGGATTCCGGGGTTTTCACGATGCGGCACATGGAGGCTTTTTTTGGGGAGGGGTGCGCGAGCTGGGACACTGGCCTGTAGCGGGGTAATGCCGCGCAACTAGTCAATCTACGCAAACGATACATGCATAATATACTACTGAGCGTGGCCAATACTCATGCACGCAGCATTGGGGCGCGCGCATCGGAATTTGAGCGCCGAAGATTAGCACAGATGCTCGGTGGCCACGGCAGCCACCACAATGATGGAGCGTCAGTCTGGACTGGTTAGCCATGAATAAGTTACGTATGCAATAGTCCTCGTAGCCAGTGGTTTGTAGTGTTGACACCACAATAATAGCGTATTTAAAATTCAGGCATATTTAAATTAGCTTAGTCAATTGGTTCGTTGTCCATAATCCAATGGGATATCACATTAATAGTTTAATAATTTCGGGTAGCATTAAAAGTTATCTAGATATAATTATTTACGAGTTTTGTGTATGCTTTTCTAGTTTACTGAGCACGGTCAATTTTTACGCACAAACCATTAGCACAATTTTGCTCCTTTTTGGGTTACGAGTTTTGTGTATTGGTGTCCGTTTAAAAAAAAAATGGCCAGCAATATTCCTGTTAATATGGTGTTATTTTTCTGGTTAATTGCTCACATCAACTCGCACCAAAATAAACCCAGTTGCTCACACGCCCATACCAACATTAGGTAACCCAATTTTTAAAAAAGAAACAGGAGACAACCCCATGTATGCACCCATGTCCCCCTCAGCTGCTACCAGTCTGGTAAATTCTCATGCCATATTAACAATTAAATTGGTAATAGCTGAACACAACACAACAGTCTCAACACTAAATTATAGGATAAACACCATTCACCAATGAAAAATAATTAACAATTAAGTTGGTAAAAGCTAAGCACAACAATCTCAATACTAAATTATAGGGTAAACATCATTGACTAATGGGAAATAAACCAATTGAAAATAATTAACAATTCAGATCGAAAAAGCTAAGCATAATAGTCTCAATACTAAATTATAGTGCAAATATCATTGACTAATGGAAAATAAAACACGACCCAAAACACTACCATATTACTTGTGAGGGCAACTACGTGCGTTATGGTGGGCATACTTCCCACAAATCCCACATTTTCGTCCAGTTTTGACATTCTTCTCAATGGCAAGCTCTCGGCTGCTCTTAATACGCTTCCCAGTACCTTTATTTTTTGCTTGTGCGGGGGCCTTGATCGTTATGGATTGTGGTGCTTGCACACCGCATAATGCCTGAATGGCGCCACGATTACCCTTAATAGGTCCCCCAGTATTACCATCGCTTGTAAATTCCACCGTAAGACTCTTCAGTACATCGATAAAACGTGCTTGTCGCTCCGTGTTACTGCCCACCAACCCAACACACGTGTTAATCTCAGCCCAAAGTTGTGTCGCTCCACATGTTGACCCGTTTGCAACGGATAACTGACCACTGCATGCACCGCAGGCTAGATGTTTGCACCATCGGGTCACAATGTATTGGGACGGCAACTGCTCAAGCTGTGCGTCTCGGAACACTAGGAACATATGCCTGCAGACTAGACCCATTCTTTCAAACAACTTGCAGGTGCACGATGCACTGAGCCCCTTCGGATCGTGGTGTACGCTGAAAATTGTGTTACACTCGCCTCGGATGTCGTAATAGATGCTCCCCCCGTCCTCGCGAACTCCTACAACCCGGGAGTAAAAACAGGCAGCTTCGATCTCTTTCTGCAGCTCATAAAAAATAGTTATCGTGAATAGCTGTGCAACATGCCGCTCGAGTGCTAAAGGTGTTTTGAATTCTGGTAGGTATCCCTCACACTCTGCATTCAATTTTGCTTGCCTGTAGCATTGCGTTTCAAGGACACTCTCGTATTGCATGTAGAACTCTACCAGACTCGAATGAAGGCGTGTGAATTTTCCGTACACACTGTTTTCTGCTTCCGAACGAGATGTGGTACGTACCAACCCGCTCAATGGCAAATCTGTAAAATAAGCCGGGATCCAGCTCTCCCGTTCTGCGTACAGTTTGCAAAACCACCGATGGGTTGTCAGATTGTACTCATCCATTAATAGGTTCCATTGTGCCTCAAATTCAGCACTAGTGATTCTCTCATTCCATACGATAGCATTTAATTTGTTGCGAAACTTCTCGTCTTTAGCTAACTCATTCCCGATTTTTTCCGGGACCTTGGTCATGATGTGCCACATGCAGAAGCGATGACGGCTCCCTGGTAAAACTTCTTCGATAGCAACTCTCAAAGCAGGGTCTTGGTCGGTCACAACACACAATGGGGTCTTTCCCATTGCGCATTTAAATCTCTCCAATAGCCAACTGTATGAGTCCACATCCTCCTTAGTGAGCAAACCGGCCCCGAAAGTGATGCATCGTTTGTGGTTGTTAACCCCGGTGAATGGCACGAACACCATACTATACCTGAACAATAAAACGGTATGCATAATCGGTTAACCATATCAGTAGAATATTTGTCGTGATTATAGCACTCCTTAAATATTTATTTATTCCATACGATTAGTCCATATCCCATACACACCATTGATACATTATTGGGTATAATTCCACTGGTTATAACTCTTGCAATTCAATTTTATTTAGGGGAGGCAAATCAAACTTATTACACCTACTGCACACAAACTTATGACACTAGAAAATGCCATTCATTCTTTTGCAGACAATAAATTAACCAAAGCAATAAAAATCATAATGATGCCACACACAATAATTTGGTGAAGATCGAAATGGTTGATTTCTTTATTGCATAAAATTATTCTGTGCAGGCTCAAATTCTCTGCCATGTGTTTATATGATCTTTAGAGTGGTTTCTTTGTGGCACATTTACCGTTTTGATTGCTAATGCTGGTTCTTAATTTTTTTTGCTTGTTTCTTTTGGGCACACTGTTATAACGATTGATTTTGTACACTGTATAATACACAGAATGGAAGTCATGCACAACACCCAAATAAACCACGGATAGATAAACCAGGGTAAGCATCATACCTGTTTGTGCCGTAAGTTGCGTCGAACGAAATAGTATCACCGTAGCAAGAAAATGCGCGCCTACCGCTGGGGTCAGCCCAAAAAAGTCGTGCTAGTCGATCGTCTTCGTCGAGCTGGTAATCAAAATAGAAGTCACTACACACTTCATGCTTCGCTTTGAACTTCTCAATGATCATCTCGCCATCACCGACTTCGACGTAAGTTTGGAGGTCACGTTTAAAATTGTGGAACTCTACGTCGGTTGCACCCACGTTCCCGTAGGAACCTGCCACCTCCTTGCAAAACCGCAAGCCTGTCGATGCCCCGATATTGGTCTTAACACAGTTTGCTAGGAATGCTTGTTGGGATACATTCAACTGCCGGTTAATCCGCATAAACATTTTAGAAGGTTCAGAGCACAGTTTGTGGCTATGTTCTTCTACAAAAACAGTCACGATGAAATCCCCAGAACGTTTCTTCCTCAAGCAGATCTTGGCCTTGCAATTGACTCTGTTAGAAATCCTTCGACGGCGCTCCCTGTTCTTTCCTCTTCCAACATCACGGTCTGGAAGCCGGTTAATCCTCCCACCACCTCTGATCCCTTGCCGGCTACACAGTAAATAGCGCATAAATATGACCCCATCTCTGTCTCGCTTCAATGTCCCCTGGCGAACGTCAAAGCCACTTATTCGAGCGTAGTTCATGTAGAATTCGATACCTTCTTCTAGTGTTCTAAACTTGCGTCCAACTACGGGCAAAATTGAATCATCCACGTTGGGCTTCCACTGGAGCGAATGTGAAGTCGCCAACCCCACCGCACCGGGCGCGGCAACATCTGCTACTGGCAACATCTCTGTGGCACCTACAGTAGTCAAATCCAAAAGTTAGGAAAAATAAAATACACTCGCACGGCGGTATGCAAATCATCACGCCGTCCAAGCCAAACGGCCGCATGCAATATAGGATCGGTAGGCGCATACAACCTGTTGAACAACCGGTGTCTTCATCATCCATCGTCAACGTCCCTCCTTGGCCTCCGACAGTGCACGAACCGACCATCCTGAGTATAAGGGGGAGAATTACGCACGAACCCGTACAAGAAAAAAGACTTAGCGGGTTAGGACTCTTTTTAAACGCAATATAAAGGGATTACGTAAAACACTAGGGTACTACGTGTGGCAAGGTGCACTGCAGTCAGATGCGACATAATCTTTCTGACCGTCGGATTCATTAAATCAATGCACCATAATGATCCACAAATTCACACGGTTAATAAGGTGTGCACCAGAAAATTACCCTATATATATATATATATATATATATATATATATATATATATATATATATATATAAGGATTTAGATTCTCGTGCGGGTGAGGGCTTCAGGTGCGATTGTGCGGTTTAATCTGAGCCATTCATCTCGCTTTAATCAACGTCCAGGATTATCAAAGTTTTTAAAAAAAAACGCAGTGACAATTTTGTAATTTTTGTATCTAGGTCAAAATTAAGGTGAGCGGATCTGTGATTAATGTGCGTGAGTTTTGTGCTTAATGTGCGTGTGTTTTGTGTTTAATGTGCGTGAGGTTTGTGCTTAATGTGCGTGGGGGTGTGCTTAACGTGAATAGTTGTTAAAACTTAAAGTCTGTGAGTGAATACTTAAAGTGCGTGAGTTTTGTGCTTAATGTGCGTGATGTTTGTGCTTAATGTGCGTGGGTTTTGTACTTAATGTGCGTGAGTTTTGTACTTAATGTCAGTAGTTGTTGAAACTTAAAGTCTGTGAGTTAATATTTAAAGTGTGTGGGTTTTGTACTTAATGTGCGTGAGGTTGTGCTTAATGTGTGTGGGTTTTGTACTTAAAATGCGTGAGTTTGTGATTCAGATCTAACACTTAAGGTGCACCTTAGCTTATACTTCTTTGTTCCAGGCACGCGTTTTTTTTTTTTTAATTTTCATTCATTTGAGCCGTTGATCTAAATTTGATCAACTGCTCAGATTTAACCGCACAACCGCACGGGAAGCTATACTCGCACCTGAACCCTTCCATATATATATATATATATATATATATATATATATATATATATATATATATATATATATATATTCCTTTGAATGGTTTTAAGTCCATCTCTTGTTGATCTTGTTGGCTTGTAATGGTTTAGACACTTAGAAAGATTTCTTTTTTTCCCCTTATTTCGGTCTGTCTTTCACTCTTTCCCTAATCCAACATTTATTTTTCATTGTTGCTCCACTCCCCTCTACCTAATTCAATATATTTTTATCTGAAAAATGGTAGGAGGAAGTTCTTCAGATTCACGGAATCCTCAATCATGATGGACAGACAATCCTTCTAACAAGCTTACAACAAATTCAAGATCGAGTAAAGATGAGCGATACACCTCTTCAACCACTTGAGAGGAGAAATTAGCGTTTTTCTTTTGATATACCATAGTCCCTTTTGAACTAGAATTTCAACCAAACCTTTCATGAATTTCCTCTTCCAAATGATTAATAAACTCTTTGTACTAAATTTATTTTTTAAAAACTTCATTCAAAAAAAATTATTTAAAAACAAACAAACAAACAAACAATATCCAATAAAAAGGAATATACATCTTCTTTTTTTTGATTTGCGGGCGCTACTACACATGAACAGGATTTACTTAGTGCACGCCCCTACACAGTGGTTGCGAGTTTCCCTTGTCATCCAAAAAAAAAAAAAAATTATATATACATATCTATCCCATAATGTTTTTCACAATTTAGTATTTACCCAACATTTTTATTTTTGCACCAGAATTATCTACAAATTATGCAGAAAACTGGAGTCTTGAATTTACCTTTTCTCCACCCATTATGATTTGCTCCAGTCTTGTTTCTATTCCCCTGATCTAAGATTCTGCAATGCACACAATATGATCAAACCTGCAACTGCCATGACAGATATATGTGAAGATGAGTTGAGCAGTTTGAGTTCAGGTGGTGTATATAACTCGCAGATTAGGACCAGAAATATGTCTGAGGCAAGCCGGGTGAAAATCCAAGAATGGCCGAGCAGGTGAGAGTGCCAGCGAGTCAAACACGCAATTTTGTGCTTAGAGTGCCTTGTTCTCTGGCGTTGCCCTACCTTGTTGCGTGGGAAGCAGTGTCAAGATCTTCGTCCTGTCAAGAAAGGGAAGCCAATACAACGGTGAAGCATCCTCGTTAAGGAGATAATGGGGTTGGGTTGAGATTAAAACTGCGTTTACTTCAATTTTCTCCAGTTTTTCATTCTCCGCTATCTGTTTTAAAATTGGAGAAATGTTGAAATAAACGCATTTTCTGGGTTTTTGCCTCTCTAATTTTCCATTTCTCCAGAAAAGAAAAGAAATGGAGCATTTCTCTCGAATATAACTAGATCTATCGTTCCTTAAAAGAAACCGTTCTATTTCCTCTTAATAGAGTGCAGTTTTTGAGTTTTAAATTCAGTTCAGAAAGGAAAACTAGAATTTAGTTGCTCACAAAGTTAGTTTGTTTGTGGCTTAAACTCGATACTATAATAAAAGCAAGCATATCTGAGGGGTAAACAGTATTCTTTGTTTCAGACACAAGCAAATGTAACGAAAATGGATGCAAAAGTCACTAAAAGTGCAAAATACTTACGATACGTAATCTGCAACATAAAATATCGGAACCCTTCCTAGTCCTGCACCTCTCCATTTTGTTCTTGGTAAGGAAACAATCTTGTCGGCTTCTGAGCCAGTTGCAGTCAAAACAAACTGAAAAGCACAATTATTACTTACATTTAGAATGAAATTTGTGTATATAAAATACAGAGAGCGTGCATATATGTCATATAGAAACACATTAAAAATGTGGGGAAAAAAAAAAAAAAAAGGGAAGGTGGGGATGCTCCAAGATGCCGAGCTCAATATGACAGCTTGGGGTGAAAACGATGACTATCATACAAGAATGTCGTAATAAGCTCATTAGAGTATCTTTCTGTTATTCTGTATGCATTCACATCAAGGGGCGAGGAGCAATAGAGTAAAGGGAGAAGTTAGTCTACCAAGGGAAAGAGTATAGCCATAACGCCATAGCTAACGAGAGGGGAGAACAAGAATATTGCCAGGGCACACGGGCTTCCTGAAAGTATACACCAATAATCACAGTGAGAAAACAATGAAAATGGTCAAAGATTGAAAAAATGGTTTAGTTTCTAGAAAAATTGCACGGTTTTATAATTTTCTAACGCGGAATTAACACCAAGTAATATTATATATTGGCATTAATCTGACCTCAAATACAAATTATTTCCTTTTCACATATTTCAGCTGTACCATAATTTATCTCACGTTACCTAAATGTAATAATCAGTAAAATTTCCGGTTTCTTATGCTATTTGCCTAATCTAACAATAAAACAGAAGCCACGCAGGGAAGAATTGAAACTTGAAAGTATGAAGATGCTAAAGAATTGTTACCAAATCCAGCAAAAAATGCCCAGTTTGTTTCAAAGAAGTCCAGCCTCTTGTCCAAACTTAGTCCTGATAGATTCCATTTATACCTAGAAAATTACAATCTCTTCAATAGGCATTTATCTAGAATAAACACCAGAAAAGGAAATAGAAATTATAATTAAAAACTTACTCGAAACAATAATATGCATACATCCAAGAAAGAAGCAGAAAGTTAAGCGCCTTTCCAATATAGGGGATAAATCCAATAACATAAACCTGGAAAGCAAAAAATCCCCAGTAAACCAATGGCATTCTTTTAAAGGCAGATTAAGAAAGACTATTTGACATCGAATGTCACCTCCAGGAAAAAGAAAGTCAGCAAAAGGACAGAATAGATTTGTTCCGCAATGCCAATCATGACTCTGCAATAATTAATCTTATGAAAAATATGACTCATCTTAATGAATCACCTCACAATTAAGCACCTCAAAAAAAAAAAAAAAAATGCTTTGAGCACAAATATTCAAGTGACAAAAAAACCATACCCTTCAAAATCGGTTGATTTAGCCTTACTAACTGTTTTTTGTGAAGTTTGCGACTCCTTCTGATCAGTCAATTTAGTACCAGAAGCTCCATATTCCTCAATTGCAAAAAACCCATGTTTTGCAATGTCATTGTACCTGAATTAGAATACATGTTGAGAACGTATGTGTAGGTATTATGATTGATTTGCAGAACATATAATAAAAACATATTCAAATACAACACCTCACAAACACATTTAATTACCACAAGAAACCTGTGTTCTTCATATGGGTATGCATTCACTCAACAAACATCCAAGTTAAAATAAAAATATTATAAGTTGAATGAAATGACTAGAAGAAATCCAACCCTTATTATCATCTCTAACATCACAATTCTCAATTTGCTAAGGAGTCCTGAACTCTAGCTTTTACAGAATCCCTTTGAACACTTTTCTATCTAGTCTAGATAATAAGAGCAAGGCACACATAGTTTATCTAAAAAATTGGTCTTTTCCATGACTACATGATGGTAATGGGTGTATTACACAGAGAAAAATGAATGCAGAAACTAAACACTAATTCACATCATAAATGGCAAAGCAACTGATTACATGAAAGAAAGAAATAGTGGCTGCCATACAAGAAAGAAATGTTAATACCAGATATTGCTAAGAATGAAGCTCAATATGTATAATGGAAAAAACCAGAAAACCTGCACAGGAAAACCATACCGAGGAATTAGAATGCACCTAAACTTTATATTGCACATATCAAAGTTTAAAATTTCTTACTATATGCAGAATAGATAAGCAGAGGGCTGTCAAAAACTACATCAAGAAGTCAAAAGAGTACACTGTTGTCCTAAAACTTCAACCTAATAATATGTCAAATATGTTGTGGAATAAAGCAACATCATACAAAATATTTACTCACATAGAATAGCTGTACAAGTCCAAGACGTAAGAAATTATAGAATTCCAAAATACCCCCACATGAGCGTGAATCTTCAGAAGTGATCTGTGGGCATTGATCAGGTAATATCCATTGTAGTGCTGGAACAATGACTGATTTCAGAAGAAAGATACTGCATGCAAAGAGACATTCACTCATTCAAAAGCAGGTTTGAAGTTAATCCTCCCCAAGGATTTCATTTTAGAGTGGTCATAAGAATTTGATATTACTTCACTTCAAATTGAATCAAGATCAAATTTTTATGAGTCAAATCCACTGAGAGTAGAGAAAGTCAAAAGCTTTCTGAGCTTAGGAAGACACCTAGCAGATAAATCTCATTCAAAGTCTAATTAAGAACTGTACATTCTAAGAGAGATAGAGAATACCAAAAGTATCCATGAACTGAGTATAAAATAGTTCACTATAGGGGGCAACCCCAGCAAAATTGGTCAAATTGTTGACTTGATAATAATAAGGTTACAAGTTCGACTCCCAGCAGGAACGGCGTATTGGCCTTCAAACCTTCTTAGTTTGAACCGATCAGCTATGGACAACCTAGATTGGTTTACATGCTTGTTGTCCTTTGCCAGCTAGAGTCACAAGTCAAAATTTACCCAATACACAACTCAGATAATGATTGCGGATTTTCTCGTAACTCCAAAAAAATAGTTCAATAAAACCTTTTATAGTCATGACTGAGCCTCGAAAATCTCACACATGACAGTCCAACTAGACGTTGGAGAGTTCAAGGAAGTTCAAAAAGCCCATTTACCCACCCAATTAAAGGCAGATTTTAGCTAATTCACTCTGCAGCACAAGCAGAGAGACAATGAAAGACATAACTTGGCTTCAAACAATGTCTGTTTCTCACTTTCTCGGAAAACAAATTCCAGAATTTTGTTACTCACTTACTCCTAGTCCTAGAGAACAGCAGTACTATGAAAATTATGCCGAGAAAACTCATACAATAACACAATACCGTACCTCCCTAAGAAGATAAAGCCATTCAATAAGAAACACTGGCCAGTGCGGACGGCGAGCTGTCTCGACCTTCAATCAAAGCAACAGAAAAGCAGAGAGAGATTTAAAGTTTTGAGCAGTAATTGAATTGCAAAGAAGAAGGAAAGTAAACGGTGTGGCGATAGGTGCAGTGACTGAGAGAGAAGAGGGGAAACCTGAAACAGTAGATGAAGACGCGATGAAGACAGCAAGCCTCCCTGAAACCCTCCGCCCAAAGCACTAACCCCTGCTTTGACTTCCTTATTAGAGAGCCCGCCAAATCCGCCGGAACGCTGACGCTGCTCTCCATCGCTGAAGAAGACGATGAACCGCCCAATCCGATCGGAAGATGTTGATTGCTTCGCTTTTCAATGAAAAAAACAAAAGTTGCACGCAAACCTCTTTTTTTTTTTTTTTTTTTTTTGTGCCTATATCAATTTTTAAATGCTTAAAACTAATTCGCATTTATTATACTTCTTCGTCCAAAAGGTTGAATCCTAATTCAAGGTCTCACACCTTGATCGGTTGAGAGGATGACTAAATAACTTAATAGTAGATGACATGATAAAAAGTCTATGCACAAAGAGTCTATCTACTTTAAACATAATCTTCAGTTCTTCACACTGTCGTAGTTAATGTCAACTTCAATTATACTTGCTCCAATAAAAAAGATGTTTAGTAAATAATTGATAACTGTTAATAAGTTTGACTAGTTGATAACACTAACTGATTATAGAAAAGTCAAATGCGGAAATAAACAAACGTTCGATACGCTTCCCTGAAACTTGGCCATGGCCGCTACTAATAGGGCCTCCGTTGATTTCCCTTTTTTAACTACTAAAATAGCTGATAGCTGATTACATATAAAATGACTTTTTAAATATATGTATGCTAACTACACATAAGATGTTAGTTAATATGTTATGTATATACTGTAATTAACAGCTTATGTATTTATAGTTATCATGTGTACGTAATTATCATGTAATATACTTTCAATTTATTTGTAAGTACACAAAAAGTAAACCACATATACAAAATATGTTAATGACATATAAAATTTAAAAATTATTTTTGAATCAGAATCCAAAATATAAAATAGACCAAATTATCAAAAGAGGTAAAGTGTCCAAATAGAATGTCAGAAATTAATTTTAAAAAATTAATATAGTAGGAGAACTATTTTACCGGTTTCTTTGTAAAAAAAAATAAAAAAAAATAAAAATAAAAATAAAAACCATGGAGAAATTCAACGGAGCAGGTCATACCATTGCCAGCATTCAAACGCGACCCAATTTTGGCATCGAAGCATAAAAAATTCTGGCATTTTTTTTCTCGTTTCTTCTTCTTATTCTCCCTTCTCTGCACCCTATTGATCTTCTTCTCCCTCCTCAGCGAAGAGGATCCTAGATAGACATAAACAGTACAGAGACCGGTAAGCGAATAAGCGATGGCACAACCCAGTAAAGAGCCCTGCAAGAAGCAGGCTTGCGATATTCAAGCTTGTCTCTCCAAGAACAACTTTCTCCCTCAAAGGTATGCGTACCCTTTTCTCACTTTCTTCCACTTCCCATCTATTCTGTCTCTTATTTGAAACAAATTTAAAAAGGGTATCAAATGCATAAATTTCCTTCATATTGGTGATTGATTCTCTCTATAATCATTTGCCTAATTTTATATTGTTAAATACTGTTGGTGTGTTCTTGAGTTAAGGAAATTATAATTTTCACCATTGTAATTGCTGTTGATTCATTGGTTATATACTTGTATGTTTTAGCATTGATGGTGATCTATTTTTAAGCTCATAAGCAGTTGAACTATGCTTGAATTTAGTGTAATTGTAATTAAAGCATGTGCTCCGTCTCAACCAAAAGCCTAAACTGAAAGTTAAATTGCACATTTATGTATATATATTATATGCTGCGTGTAATTGTAATTAAAGCATGTGCTCCATCCTAACCAAAAGCTTATGATAGTTAGATTGCACATTTATGTTTATATGCCCAACACGTCCCCTCATGTGAACGGGCGGATTACTTTTTGATGGGCTCCAAGCAATACGTGAACCAATTGACTCTGATACCAAATTAAAGCATGTGTTCCATCTCAACCAAAAGTCTAAGTTGATAGTTGGATTGCACATTTATGTTTATATATTATATGCTCAACAATTGTGATATGAGATTTATGTGCTTACAATTGTGGTATCAGTTAAGGCATAGTCATGTTGTCATGCTCTAACAGTATCAGTGATGTGTGTCTAATTGTATCATCTCTGTGTTGGTAGACTTATTTGTTGTGCCTCTACATGTTTGTATTAATTGGCTGACTGTGTATTCATATTTTCCTTTACAAATGACAAGGATGAAGCTTTCTTCAGCTCGGGTTATAGTCGTAATAGGTGTTTAGGATAGTGGCCTAGGTGTTTTTGAAAAGATTATGACCTTCAAGATCTTTCTTGGCAAAAAACAACAGTTTGAATCTATGTGCACTAAGCATAGTGGCAAGAGTAAAGAAGTGGGCTCATGAGTTTTACTTAGTTCGATGAAATGTGTGCTTGCATCTTTTCCTTTAGAAACGGCAAGGAGGAAGATTTCTCCAGTTCTAGTAATGAGGTTGGGTTGTAGTTGTAATAGGCGTTTAGGATAGGGCGTAGTTGCTTTTGAAAAGATTACAGCCTTCAAGATCTTTCCTTCATTTATTGGGGGAAAAAAAAACAACGTTTGAATCTATGTGCACTAAGCATAGTGGCAAGAGTAAAGAAATGGGCTCCTAGGTTTTACATAATTCGATGAATCTGTGCTTGGCTGCTTGCATCTTTTCCTTTAGAAATGGCAAGGAGGAAGCTTTCTCGACGGTTCTAGTAATGATGTGGGGTTATAGTCGTAAATCGTAATAGGTGTTTAAGGATAGGGAATAGGTGCTTTTGAAAAGATTTCGACCTTCAAGATCTTTACTTCATTGATTGGCAAAAAACAACTGTTAGAATCTATGTACACCACGCATACTGGCAAGAGTAAAGAAATGGGCTCCGAGTTTTACATAATTTGACGAATGTGTATCCATCTTCTCCTTTAGAAATGAAGAGGAAACTTTCTCTAGTTTCTAGTAATGAGGTGGGGTTATAGTAGTAATAGGCGTTTAGGATAGGGCGTAAGTGTTTCATGCTTTTGACAAAAATTACAACCTTCAAGATCTTTAACTCATTGATTGGCAAAAAACAACGGTTTGAATCTATGTAGACCAAACATACTGGCAATAGTAAAATGTGATCTTGAGTTTTACATAATACAATGAATGTGTGCTTGCACCATAGAACATGCTCTCTCAGTCTCTCTTATTAATTATTAGCAAGAACCATTGCTTCTTAAATTACTGCAACTTGAAACCTCGAGTTCTTCAACATCTAACTTGCTTAGTCATGGTGAACAGTAATTTTCCAGAAACACGCTTCCAATCTGCTGGGCTAACCTTGCCTTTAGCACATTGGGACTCCATAGAAAGTGAACCATCACCAATATTTCCATGTTATAAACGTCTTTCTATTCACTGTTCCTTAGCAATGGCTAATAATATGTTTTGAAATAGCTTGTTCTTTTAGTTGGATTCAATGCTTACTTGGAGTTCTACTACATGTACTCCCAAATCTTACTCCCTGATATGACGGGCACTGATAGACTATTTTCTTCATGTGGAGCCCTCTAAATATAATCTTACTCCCTGATATGATGGGCACTGATAGACTATTTTCTTCATGTGGGGCCCTCTAAATATAATCTTACTCCTTGATATGACGGGTACTGATAGACTATTTTCTTCATGTGGGGCCCTCTAAATATAATCTTACTCGGGATATGACGGGCACTAATAGACTATTTTCTTCATGTGGGGCCCTCCAAATATGTCTACATCAAAATTTTAAGTGTGGGAGTAAAAATTGGGAGTAGAGAATGGGAGTACATATAGACATATAGTATTATCCGCTTACTTGATTTTACCTCTATTTTCCGACTTGGTTCCATGAAAAAACCGAAAAACCAATCTGAATGGAGGGTATGGTTATATAGTTTGTCGGCTTTTTCTTGATTTGATCTCAAAGTTGCTGTTCTCTGTTCTGTGTACTCATGAACTTGCGCTTATTGGTGTATGATACAGATGCGTTAGAGTAATCGAATCCCTTAGAAACTGTTGCGAGCAATGCGAATACAAGTCGACCCATTGTGCTTCTTTATCTGGTCTTCTGAAACAGATACAGAAGTAAGAGCTTCATGTGAAACAGTCAGGGAAGATGGAGAGTTTTGGTTTCTGATTCCCTCTTGTGCAGTTTCAGAAGTTAATGTCATTTTTGCTTCCATGTTTGACAACATGATGATCAAGAAACAGAGAAAGGTGGCATTCAATCAGTCAGACCTTTTGTTATACAAGTGATTATTTTGAAGTTTCTGTAATAAATAAGCGGTTGGTCTGGTGTAAAATCTTCTTACGGCCTTGTTTGGTAATATAGTTAGCTTATCAGCCAATTTTAGCTTATTTGATCACTATTGGTTGTTTGACTTGATTACAATCAATATGAATGTTTGATAATTAATTTTTTGTAATAGTTTATTGTTTCAAAATGCTAAAATTCAAAAAATTGTTCAAAACAGTTTTTTCGATAAGTTTTTTTAGAAAGTTATTTTGCATGTAATCAACTATCAGCTAAGAATTAATTTACCAAACACTTTTTTACAATCAGCTAATGTTACTAACTAGTCAAATTCACTACCAGTTATTAGTTAACAGTTATTTACCACTTTTTTATGGATTAACAAGTTTTACATTTTCATGGAACAAGATTTTGCAGTGAAAATGATCTCTAAACAATGGGATAGGAACAAACTTTCCAACATGAAATGCTTGAGTTACCTCGTTGATAAAATTCAGTCTAACGTGACATGTCAATGAACATCCTTGATTAAACAATTAGCAAATATGGTAAATAAATTATCGGTTAATTGCCCAATAATTGAAATTTGAATCAATCAAAATCAAAATCAGTCGGTTTTTATTATTGATTTTGATTTGATGGTGCAAATACTCTTGGGTCGGGTATACGTATTGGAATACAAAGTATATAGTAGTTACTAGTTAGGTTATAGTAGCTCAGGTAAATAAGATCGAGGGTCGGAGGTTCCTGAACATGAGAGTCATCTAAAGAGAGAAGCATCAAACGCGGTATTTATAGGAGGCGAAAGGAGACACATGTTAAAGGGTCAGCATGCACGATATGTGTGCTCCATGCTAAAGGTCTTCGGACAAGCTCACTTAAGCTAAAAATAAGCTTTGTCTTCGGGGTAGGTCGAGTGCGGTCGGGAAATGACCCTCTCTAAGAGGGAAGTCGGATTCGGACTGGTGCCCAATATGTAAGGGCAGGTAGACCCGAAGTATATTCCCTATCAATTAAAAAAAAAATCAGTTATTTGGTCATTGTACAGTTATTTATCTTTGATTTCAATCCGTGATCGATAACCAACATTAAAATTTAGCCCAATCTTGGGCTTATGAGTTATTGACAATTTATATCGTGCACCACGGCGCCCAGGCACAAAACGCGCGCGTTTCATGCTGGCATCACACTGACATCACTCCGTCCATCCGAACAGACCAAACCTCATTATGTGTATTCAGTTAAAATTTTATGTGTATTGTGTTATGAGTTTATGTGTATTCAGTTAAGAGTTTATGTGTATTATGTTAACCAAACACATTATGTGTATTCAGTTAAAAGTTTATGTGTATTGTGTTATAAGTTTATGTATATTATATATTATGTTAGGTTATGTGTATTCTGTTATGAGTTTATGTGCATTCGAAACATGGTATTTTTTTTTAACAACTTAACAAAACGACGTCGTTTTGGGAGGCGCGGGGCGCACAGTGCTATGTGCGCCCTGGTGCACGGTATAACGATTGTGAGTTATTATATTTAAACTTTTTGAGTTCAATTTTTTTATGGGTTATATTATTTTCTTCAATCAATTTCGATCGGTCATTCAATTTTTTTAATCAATTATGTATTTTTAGTTTCAAAATTTTTTTAATCAATTATGTATTTTTAGTTTCAAAATTGTGAACTTCTAAAATATAAATTGTATTTCTAAATTTTGAAATTTGTGAATACAATACAGGATTATTACAAATTATGAATTTTTAAAAGATAAGTTGTGAACATTTAATAGATAAATTGTGTATCTTTGAACTAGGGTCCACCGAATAATTTGCCAGTTTTTTTTAAATGTATGTATATAATATATGTAAATGGTATAGAAAGAGAATATTAGAATACAAAGGAGACAGGTATGGCATTAGGTGCATATTGAGTGGCAAGGGGCAGCATTTCACCTTCCTTTTGTACTTTGAACTACATAGAAAAAGAATATTAGAATACAATACAATTTCAACAGTCTCTCTCACCTTCCCTTTCTTTGAACTACATGATGGACAAAGAATACAATAATAATAATGCAATTTCCAAGTGTGGTATTTCTTTGAATGTGATGTGGACCATGCTGCAGAACTGTGGCAAAAAAGAATAATGAGAAAAAAAATATCGAGGCATCCGGGAGCAATATATATAGTTATATATCATGGCAATCTCGAGGAGTCTTGGCGCTTCAACGGCACGCCTTCTTGACCATAACCGTCCTCATCAACGTGCTTGGGGAGTCGGACCGAGTGCCCCATGGGACCTGATCAGGATCCGCGGTGTAACTAGGGTTAGCAAATTTCGAATATTGGGAAATCAATGGCTTCCATGAGCTTTAAAGGCTACGGGGAAGAGGGGGTATAGGGGTTAGAGGTATTATACCGTCCACCATGTCTTTGGTGCTGTGAAGAAGAAACGTGCCAGAAAGTATCGTGACAAACCCACACATTTCTGTCACGATTTGGGTAGGGTTCTGCCTATCCCAGTCCTGTTCACGCAAACAAAAACAACTATAACAATGAGGGGGACAAGGACATTACACATAGCTTTAGCTTCGGATACAAATATTTTCACATTTGAAGGGAGAAAGGCTCACCATAAAGACCGCTAGATAGGAAAGATAAAAGGAAATAATTTAATCCGAAGCAGATTTAGCAAATTTAGATTGGTATTGGACTTAAGGAATATTAATCAAGTAAAAACATTCAAGATTTGCGAAGAGGTTACCTACCTTGAACATGATTACGCTTGCTAAGATAGTTAGAGACGTGAACATAACATAATATATTGGTGACACAACAGCGGTGTTGAACGTGTCCAGGGCCTGCACTCAAAATTAGCAAAAGTTGGAGTAGAGAGGTCAGGATCACTGTTGCCTAGCTCAGCCGAGTTCGCCGCCAACTCGGCCGACTCAGCCTTGCTAATTTTTATTATTATTATTATTATTATTATTATTATATATATATATATATATATATATATATATATATATATATATATATATATATATATATAGTTTCAAATGAGAACAGGGCTTCCCGTGTGGTCGGTGCGGTTTACACCATTAGGTATGCATAAATACACCACACAGTGTTCGAAAATGCACCAGAATGAAATATCACAAAATGCACCACACATAATGGTGTATTTTTGAACACTGTGTGGTGCATTTATGCATACCGCACTGTGTGGTGTAAACCGCACGGGAAGCTCTGTTTTCACAGAATCCTGAACCTATATATATATATATATATATATATATATATATATATATATATATATATATATATATATATATATATATATGACATACACTCACACACGTGCACTGTTTTTTTTTTTAGTTAGCTGCTTAGGCGCTACCACTCAACTAGCGCCTACTACAACCATGGCCAGGATAGAGGCCTAAGAGAGATATTGTCAAAATAGACAACATTGGCGTTGAATGTGTAAATACACGCAAATTAAATGATACTTACCATATTTAAGTAATTCATTTGAGTAAGCACACAAATCAGGACAACCAAAGTAAAGGCCCAAGTCTGGGGATATAGTAGCTGATTCATTCCCGACAATGTTAACTTTAGGGCTATCCCGAGTGCTTTGACACTCATGACCTGTTAAAAACAGACAACCGAGCTGAAAATTTGAAAATGCACGGGCAAGAAACAATTCAAGTACAGTTGAATTATCATTATCAATACATACCGATAAAGAACCGATTAATGAACAAATACCAATATAGCACATTATATGTGTCTGCCCGTATTGTGGAACATAGTGAAATATGAGAATCAGAACAGCCGTTATCACCAAGGATGCATAAAAGAGAAAACCTGCAGGAAACAATAGGCCGACTATGGTCACGAGTTCCCCGTAAAAGACGCAATCGTGAAAAGGGTAATTTTAATCTCTCATCATCATCATCTTTAACATTAGTAAAATACCAGGCTCGGTAGCAAGGTCCCACACTTCTGTCACCGATTCAATCTGGCGTTCTTGAGGAGCATGTAGAACAATCGTGGTGGAGCCCACCACGCATAAAGCACAACCTAAAATGCCAAACGTATGTAGCTTCTCCCGCAAAATAATGTGAGCTAGCACGGCACTACAATACACACATAAGCCATCAAAACCAGAATCTTAAATTTAAATAAATTCCCGTATCATATATCATACCTTATGATAATGCTAAGTGCACCAAGAGGAGTAACCAGAATAGCGGGCGCAAATGCATATGCTGCAAAATTGGCAACTTCTCCAACAATCACTGTTTCAACAACAGTAAACCCCATTAGAACTCAAATTAGCAAAGTGAATACCAGTAAAGGGTAGCAACCGGCTAATCCAAGATTCGAAATGAACTCTTACGATTTTTTTTTTTTTTTTTCAGCACTACTGACCCTGTTACAATGTAGTATCTGTCTATACATACTTTCTCGACCTATTGAAGCACAAAGAGTCAATGTCCCCCCCTCACCCCCCCACCCACACACTAGGGTTTGAACCTGTAACCTCCCATTTGGAAGAACCATACCTATGCCGCTTGACCACAAGGTCTTTGGCAACTCTTACGATATTGAAATAGAATAGATTGTTAAAAAAGATTCTAGCAAGGCAGAAGATTATGGATGAATTAGTTTGGGAGTGGCGTGTGCCACATTTGGTCTACGTAATTTTTTGGACTTCAATCGGCTTTCAATACCCATGAAGGGACTTGTAATCGTTCTAGTAATTTAGTAAGCATGATTACACAAAGAATAAAACAAAAATAAAGTAGGTGGGCCACTAGGATCCCAAAATAACATATGAGGATAGTAATTTATAACTCACTTGTAATCATGCCCACCCACCATAGTGGCTCATATAGGTATGAATATCCTCCGGCTCCTGTCAGAAACAGAAAGACGTTTAAGTTAAAAATTTAAGCGTTGTTGAAACTGTATCTCAAAACCTAACTCAGAAAGACAGAGCATAGCAAAGTTCACGGAGTGGAGTCCAACACCTATCCGGTTATGTTTTTCCTCAAGTACATATGAGACATACACAACAGTTGTAAACTTTGATGCAAACATGAGAGAAAAGATTCGTGAATTTGCATGCTTATTAAGGGCTCTCAAATGCAAAAATTATCAGCCAAATTTATCAATGGGTTCATTGTCCAGCCACTTCTGAGGCCACTCTCAAATGGTATGTTGCTAATAATACAACCTGTAGAAATGGTACTAGAAAAGGAAAGGCAAATACCAGTGCGATTGAAAATCCATTCAAATACCATAAACTCAGGATCGCCAATTTAAATCTGAAATACTAGCAAGGTGATAACCATTAACCACACCAAACCTCGGAGAATTTGAAGATGTGATCCATGGATGCCATACTGAAGTTCTAGCAGCTTTTAACCAAGAACCACAAAACATATGCACTTAACATACCACATAAATTATAAACTTCTCAATTCAGACATATATAAATGAAAAAGGAAAAAAATGGAGAAAAGCCTCAAGATCTTGCCAACTAAAAGAACCCAAAGTTAGTTGGAAGCATTCATTGCCCATAGGCAAAATCCCTTGCTCGAAGGACCCTTACACCCCACCCGACAGGAGCGTAGATGAGTAAATCACGGTGACTCAATGACCCGGTAGGACGTGGGAGCCACACCACAAGAGGGTGTAACTCTCTTAGCTATCCGGGCTCGATCACCTACATCCCGACAGACAGGAGTAAATCACGGTGACTCAATGACCCAGTACGACGTGGGAGCCACCCCACAAGAGGGTGTAACTCTCTTAGCTATCCGGGCTCGATCACCTACACCCCGGCTGACAGGAGTAAATCACAGTGACTCAATGACCCGGGAGCCACCCCACAAGAGGGTGTAAATCTCCTAGCTATCCGGGCTCAATCACCCTGGTGACTCAACAGCCCATTATATGGGAGGACGTGCAGCCCACAAAGAGCCACCCCACAAGAGGGTGAAACTCTCGTGGCTGCCGGGCTGGATCCTGCGCCCTTGCCCATAATTTGGGACCCGGAAACCAACTGAGCTGCCCGTGCGGGCTAGTTGGAAGCATTCCTTTTCAGCAACAAGTGCAAATCACTCAAGTTTCACAGCCAAACCCAATGCAACAAGAATACTGAACAGGTTCATTTATGTAATACCAGTATATATATACACAATATAAAGACAAAAGAAGTGAATTAAGGTGTACTACCAGCCCTGACGCCAGAAGCACCGGCCTTCTTCAGCCCTTTCTTCTTAACAATGAAGCTAGCACCGATGAAAACGCTGGAAGACAACGCCAAAACTAACCCCTTAACATTATCCGACGACATTCCTCTGTACGCATCCTTCCAGCTATGCGACACCGCCGCCGCCGTCGCCGCCGTCGCTTCCAACGCCATCAAACAGAATCTTAAACCCGGTTCCTCCTCCGCCGCCGCCACAGCACTACTGCCTCATTTCCAAACGCGAATGCGTCTAGATTGGTTAAAGTCGGAATCCTTACTCTTTAGTTCCCTGACAGAGCGAATCAGAAGTCGAATAAACCAGTGGTGGGTGGTGGGATCTGTCGGCGGTGGAACACACAGATGGGAACAGCAGGAAGCGCGTTGCCGTGCTAGATCGGGGCTGGGAAGAAACAATGAATTTGGGTTTACCCGAAACAGGACTCAGGTCTGATCAGATCGATGATCGGATGATGTAGATTTGCATTTGCTCGTCTTCTACCTTCCAGACCCACCATTTTATCCGCCGCTCTTTTATTTTTTCTTTTCTTTTTCTTTTCTATTCTTAGTGAGACTAATAATCCACAATTTGTCTCGTCTAGTCTTTCATCAGTCAATCCCAACAATTCCATGAAATCATCTCTTTTTACCCAAAGTAGTAAAATTATAAGAATGGGAAAGTTTTTCAATGTTGTATGATTTGTAATATTATATATTATATTTGGTCAGATGTATTTATATAGAGTATGTAGTCGGTAAATAGAAAAGTACAAAAATACAATATTATAAAATTTTCAATAAAAATTATTCCCTACATTTGCTGCTATCACATGGCGTATGGTTGGAGAGAGTGAATTACGCGAGAAAAGAATTGCAATTTCATGGGAGATTAATTATTAGAAATAAAGTGAGAATTTAAATTCCAGTATTTAGTTTACAGGAATAGAATTCTTGGAAATTTCAATTCTAATGTTTGGTATACATATGAATTGAAAAGAAATAACTAGTATAAAGTCAAAAATGTCCATTGTTGTTGTTAGACATTAATTTTAGGTTAAAAAATGAAGGGGTAATTTTGATTCATCACTATCTTTTTTTCTTCCTAAAATACCAGGAATTAAAATCCCAGGGGACATGGGATTTTAATTCCATGAAAATGGGAGAATTGCAATTACATGGAATTGCAATTCATTTCAACCAAACAAGGGAATTTTGTGGCCTTTAGAATTAGGTGGGAATTAAGTGGGAAGGGAATTTAAATTCCCTTCAACCAAACGCCTTGTCAAGATTCAACCATTGATCTCTTCTTCCAACTGGGTAGCTCAACTGGTTATAGAGGTGAAACTTTGGAAGAATGACCAGGGATCGAGTCTCACTAGCGGCAGTGTGGGAGCAACCTCTCAAAGTGAGGGGGGCTCCTTGTGCGCAGTGAGCACCGGTCTAGCCTCTATGGTTCATGTTCAGTTGAGTCACCATGGGGTTCAGCGGGGTGTGGGGCCCTAATGAACCAATAAATTAAGCCTGTGTGGACAAATGTAAATCTCTAACAACTATTTGATGAGAAATGTATTCTTTTTACTGGTAACCTATAAGGATGATGACAAAACGTTTTTTTATTTGTTAAAATTCTTTTTTTCTAGTGTTAATCACAGATTAGTCATTTTATTCTTATTCAATCCGAAGAAGGATATCATCATATGGTCTTCTTCTTCAGTTTTAAAAAAAGAAATCAATGAACATGTCACCAGTCACCTGTGTGGAGTGATAGTCTCGAAAATAGTAATAATTTTACAAAATATTTATAAAATATTATTAAAAATATATTTTCTTTTATTATTAATGTGCATATGTGACTTGACACATAAGACGTTAAAAATTATCAATTTTTTCACTAAAAATAACCAAGTATATATGCACACAAATAACAAATTGTTATGTTTACCATAACTTTTTTAAAGTCTAACACTTTATTTAACTATTTTTACTTTTCAATTTTATGAGCCGTCATGTTTTTTTTTTTTTTTGGTTCATTAGTGAATCATTCTCCAACTTCAATCCTTGTTCCATCAAATTAAAGTAAACCCACTATATAAATGCATGTATTGTCCATGTTTACATCGGATTAAATTTGTTTCCTTTTATAAAGCATTGCTATTTTAACTTTACAAAAGTTTAATATCTTAAATAATAATGTTGCAAAATGCCAAATGTCCAATAGTGTGACATTAAATGCACTTAAATGGTTAAAGTATCCATTTAGTCTGATATCACCATTAAACAATTAATTTTACCATAATTTTTAAATTAATATAATCTACAAACCTAATAATAAGAGCCAATAAAGTTAGGTCCCTCATGGTCTAACGAAAAAATAATAAAGTTAGATCCTTAACGGGAGCTAAAAATATTGTGTAATTGTTTGTTGAAATGAACGATTCATATTATTTTGAATTTTTTATATTATTTTTCCTACTTTAGCATCAATTATATCATTTACTTTTCTTAAATACTTTTATATTCTGTCAGTGTAAACTTTAGTAACAGAATATTCAGTTAACTATTTATTATTTTTAACTTGCTCGTTGATTTTCATAAGGTATTATGTTTGAACCACATCTCAATCAAAATTGATATAATTGTTAAACATATACTATTAATATATGTTAACGCATATTAAAAAATAGAATATTAAATTTAACATGAACTTTGGCTAATTAATTAAAATCACGCATTGGGCATTGATGAAACAGTATACCTAATTTACAATATATATTCAACACAGATGATAAACTATGTATATTATCATTGTTTTGTTGGTGAAGGAGGATTTAGTTCTGTTTTTGAATGTGCAATGCGTCAAGGCACTAAAATTGTAGTGAAGCACACCATGAGACTATATTAAATCAAAAATTAATTTATGACGGAAGTGGCAACAAGAGGAAACATGGATTGTTGCGTGTCGACCGGGTTGGCCGAGTTCAACCCCTGCTCGATTCAAGACGTGGCGATGTGGCTTACCATGGAGAGATGTGGTTAAAAGGTTAATGTTCACCTACTTATCACCAATTGATTTTAAGTAGGATATGACAACCAGGTACCATAGAACTCTGTGGTTAAGCGTGTTTGACTTCCCGCAATCCCGAGATGGGTCCAACATGGATCACGCCAATTAATAGGGTTTTGTGTTACAAAAATTATGCTTGGTACTATCAAGTGAGGGTGTTTCCCTCTAAAACTGATATTGCACCAGTTAATTTTATGAAAAATTATGTCACACATCATAGTTATACATTTTTTGAAATATTTAATTTTATGACAAATTTAATAATCTTGCATTGATATACGTCAAGATACCGAATGATACTTTGATAAATTAAAAAACACTAATTTAAAAATACATATTTGCCATCCATTTTTTGAATAGTCACTTAAAAAAAAAAGGAAAAAAAAAACAATTTGATAATTTCATTAATGATATTAATAACCCATCCTTTTTTTTTTTCTTTCTTCTCCCACATTAATGTAATAATTTATTCATGGGAGAATGGCGAGTTTGGTTCCTGAGTTATAACCGTATTGACGACTCAGTCCTTGTGTTATTACCGTATCCATTGTTAGTCTTTCAGTTATGAGAGAAGTGGCGAGTTTGGTCCTTGACGCTAGTGGTGTGTTGACAAAATTAATTCTAGGAGTAAAAAAGTAAACTCCTTAATAAAACTTGCAAACTTAGCCAAAATACTTTCCCCAAATCGACAAAAGCCCTGAGTTGCTTATGTAATCAATGAAGAAACCACATATTCCTATTTTCCTAAAAAAATCAAATTTCAATATTTCAATTCTATTTATATAAAAATAAAAAAAATAAAAAAAAAATAAAAACAACTTCAATTGCAGTTTTTGACAAATACAACAATTTGCTTCATAACATGGACAAGCTTGGTATCTTTTCGCTCGATTAGCATAACTCAATGACATTTTGATGGGTAATAAATCATCACATCTACATCGAAAATTATCTCCAAATTGATGGAAAGATGAAGTACCACAAGAGATGACATCCTATAATTAATGGCTAAATTAGTTCATCAATACGAAGACTATTGATTATTTATTTAAACATATAAAATAGAGAAACAACTTACTTGTGAATTTCGCATCTTGAAAGTGGACGAATTTGAGATTTTACAGCTTGGTGAAGAAAAAGACCTTCGATTGTAGGTATAAGAAAAAAAGAATGATTGGGAGAAGAAAAAAAGAATGATTGTTGCACAATGGGGTTTAACATAAGAAGGAGATTATAATTTGAAATTCCTATTTTACCCCTCTATTATTAAATTTTTTTAAGTTTTTCGTTAGCTGCAGACGTAATATTAACGCTAGGGACAAAACTCGTCACTTCGCTCATAACTGAGTGACTAAACTCGGATATGACTATAACTTAAGGACTGATTCGGAACTTTGTTATAACTCAGGGAATAAAGATGCAATTGTCCCTTTATTCATTGAAAAAATACTACTCATACTCTCAAATTTTACTTCCTCTCACAAAATTTTGATGTTGCCATTTTCATTGGAACCCGCAAAATGAAGATAACTAACCAACAATTACCACATCAAGGAGTAAAAAGTGACAAAGTGTAAATATAAAGTACATGTAGTAGAACTCTTATTCATTTTAACATACTCCAGGTTAATATCAAAATGAAAAGTCTATTTTTTTTTGGGAATAAGGGTCAAATAGGCCACTCAACTGCACACCACATTGCAATTGGGCCATCAAACTAAAAAAAAGTGTAATTGGGTCCATGAATTACACAAATACATTCAAGTAAACCCAAAATGTAGAGCCGTCGAAACGGTCTCGCGGGGCGGGACGGGCTAAAAAGCCCGCCTCTTAGCGGGCTTGGAATGTGGCCGGCCTGCCCCACCATGCCAAAGCCCGCTGGCGGGGCGGGCTAGCCCGCCAATCAATTTTACTGTGTTAATGTTTAAAAAAAAAATCATTGTACAATATCCTTAAAAAAAAAAAAAAAAAAAGAATCACTGTATAGACGTACAGTAACACTACCTAGTATTGTATTCCTATAAATCTATAATCCTATAAGTTATAACATACTAACACAATTACACAAACCAAAATAACATATATTAAATACTAAATATATATATAAAATATATATGTATTAGCAGGTCGTGGACTAAACCCGTGACCCGCCTGGACCCGTGACCCAGGCGGGACGGGCTAAAAAGCCCGCCTCCTGGCGGATCAAAATTTGAAGAACCCGTCCCCTACCTACGGCGGTACGGGACGGGTCGACCCGGCGGGTAAAATCCATTTTTGACGGCTCTACCAAAATGACTTGTTTTACCGGCTGACGTGGAGGTTATTGAATTTAAAAATAATTTTAATTAAAATAATTATTTTAAAAAAAAAAACCTTCGTCTTCAGCTCATCTCCGTCGGAGACGAAGGGTCCGCCGATTCATCGATCCTTGGCCTTGTTGAAGGCCGGAGACGAAGCCACCTTCGTCTCTTGGCCATGGAGACGAAGGGATCGACTTCGTCGCCGTTTCCCTAGCTATGGAGACGGTCGGAGACGAAGCCAACCCCCCCTTCGTTTCCATGGCCATTTCCCTGGCTATGGAGACGGTCGGAGACGAAGCCAACTCCCCCTTCGTCTCCATGGCCAGGAGATGGCCAGAGACGAAGCCGACCCCTTCGTCGGCTGCTGTCTCCATAGCAAGGTAGAGACGCCGAGCCCTTTGTCTCTTGGTCATGGAGACGAAGCGATCGACTTCGTCGCCGTTTCCCTGGCTATGGAGACGGTCGGAGACGAAGCCTCGTCGCCGTTTCCCTGGCTATGGAGACGGTCGGAGACGAAGCCTTTCCCCCCTTCGTCTCCATGGCCATTTCCCCGGCTATGGAGACGGTCGGAGAGCCCTTCGTCTCTTAGCTATGGAGACGAAGGGATCGACTTCGTCGCCGTTTCCCGGACTATGGAGGCGGTCGGAGACAAAGCCAACCCCCCATTCGTCTCCTGGTCGACCCCCCCCCCCCCCTCCCCCATTCGTCTCCTGGCCGACCCCCCCCCCCCCCCCCCCTCCTCCCCCATTCGTCTCCTGGCCAGGAGATGGCCAGAGACGAAGCCGACCCCTTTGTCCCCCCATTCGTCTCCTGGCCGACCCCCCCCCCCCCCCCCATTCGGCTGCTGTCTCCATGGCAAGGTAGAGACGCCGCTCTACGCCGAGCCCTTCGTAGGTAAAATAAGTCATTTTGGGTTGAAGTGAAACTTTGTGGTGTGCAGATTTCCACTAAGACTCGAACTCACAACCTCTCATATGGGAGTCTAACCCAAGTGCCATCTAAACACAAGGTGTTTGGCGACTGAAAATGAATTTAATTATCAATTAGATAATGTCTCAGTTTGGTAAATAATTGTTAATTGATAGTTGGTTGGGTTAATTAGAGGGTATAACTATATGATTGTAGAAATGCGTTTGGTAAATTAGCTGTTAGATGTTTGGTATAATTTATTTTCTCAAAATAAATTATAGCATTTTGGAGTTACAAAAAAACTAATTAACCAAACACTTATATTGATTTTTTAATCAAATTAAACAATTAATAGTGGTCAAATAAGTCATAATTGACTAATAAGCTAACTGTTTTACCAAACAGGGCCATATAAATAATGTCATGAGAGAAAGAGAGATTGGACGATGAATATAAGAGGGATATGTAGTATTACTCTATAAAATTGTACGGAGTATCGAATTTGAGGTGTAATTAAATTCGGTGGATTGAACTCGCAAATAAGCATAAAAGTTATTTTATTATTTTATTTTATATAGAGAAAATAGTCAAATATGTCATTGAATTTTACCTGAAATGTCAATTAGACCCCTAAATATTTTAAATTTGAAATTAAACCCGTTTGTATTTTGGTGCAATAAAACCCCAAAACCAATGAGTGAACTTTGATAGCAGGTCACTAAGGTTTCGACAATCCTCCAACGACACTTCGACGCTATTTTTGACAACAAAACGACCAAGGACCAACGACGGTGTGTCGATCGCCATTAAAGTCTTGGTCGCCTTCTCAGGCGGATAAGACGCCTTCCAGAGTGAGAAGGCGACAAGTGGATAAGGCGCATTTCAGACTGAGAATGGCGACCGACGATTTTGTTGTCGAAAATAGCATTGAATGGTTGCCCAAAAAGCAATACGAGTCCCTAATAGTAAGAGACACCTTTAAGTCTGTACCATATATTCAAACTAACCCCGATTTTTCCATACAAAATGAAATTTAAACATCCCACATCTCTTAAGGATGAGTGTACACCACAACTCATGCCAACCAAGTTTAATTTATACTTTATTTATAATTAAATTACTTATGTGTATTTTCCTTAGAAATACATATGTATGGACAAAAAGAAGAAGAAGAAGAAAAAAAAAAAAATAAAAGGATGGAACGCACCAGCTGAAAATAGTCTCGACAACATCCAAAAATTTCCCAGTGGTAGATTCTCCGGTATCTTCCTCAATCACTCCCCACCCTCCGCAGCCTCCTGCGGCGGCGATTTACCTCTTCCCACCCCCTCTCCGTCTCTTTCCGTATCTGCTCAATACTTCATCATGCCGGCGATGCAGACTCTTTTCCTTCAATGCTCTTCATCCATCTCACCTCTCTCGACTTCTCTGTCTTCTTCATTTTCCACTTCAGCTACTGCTAATGCCTGCAAATCTTCAATTAAATTTACCGTCATGTGCTGCTCCCAGGCGTCGCCGGTTACCGTGGTAAACGGAAACGTCGAAAGGCGATCTGCTGAACGGAGTGAGGTTCGCCTTGGCTTGCCTAGCAAAGGTCGAATGGCCACCGATACTCTCGATCTTCTCAAGGTATATATACTCTTGTGCGCTTGTATTTTCATTTGAATTGACCTTTAATCCTTATCATTAAAGCTGTTTTCCTTTTGTTTTGGTGGTTATGGCGTTGACAGGACTGCCAACTGTCAGTGAGGCAAGTGAATCCAAGGCAGTACGTTGCCGAGATTCCTCAGGTGCTCTAGTCATTTCCTATTCTATGATTTAATTTTGTTCCTACATTGCATTGGATTTAAGCAGTTGATTCTTTGTTTTTGATGTTTGAGTTTCTAGCAGGAAATTCATTCTTGCAGTTGTATTTTCATTTTTATGAATGTATTTAAAAATTTTGAAGTTCTGCTGCAAGTAATAAGCAAACTGCATTTATACAAAATTGGCTTCTTGATGCTATCAACAAGTAGGATTTATCACTTAGGGAAGCAATTAATACTATTGAGTATGAGGTATATGACCATCAATTCAAAGTAGGTGAATTAAGGATGCCTTTATGGTAGAATCATGCTTGTCTGGCCAAAAAAGGCATGCGTGCTGCTTTTAAAGGTACAATAAATTCAGTGCAATTCCTCTTGAGCTTAGTTGATTGTTTTCTTTGTCACAACCTCCCATTTATTTTGATTAGTTTGTCAAGTTAAAAATTATTTTACACTTTCATTGTTGGAATATGGGTTGAAGTTATGTGTGTTTGCTGTTTTGGTATGCTTTAAGCTTACCTTTGGATTTTAGGCATAAGCAGTTTGATTTTGTGATGTTATTAGATTTCCTTAATTAAGATGACTGGATTGGCACTAGTCAGTGCTGGAGTAAACTTAGATCCATGATAATCTTATCCACTTCATCTAATTAGGAGAGTAGGAATTCGAAAAATTTCCATTAGTTGTTCAGTGTCACAAATGTTTTGACAAGCTGAATACTGTGAGTAGACATAATAGGTTATTGAGATATCTGTACAACAATTTTGTACGGACTTTGTTGCATTATTACCATTTTAAATATTTCCTGCACCTCCTTTCCATTCTTAGCTATTAGCTTTGCTACCTTTCCAGTGTCTTTTGTCCCTTTCTAAATTGCTCTACCATTAGAAACACTCTAATTTTCAAGTATGAAGATGAACTTAACTTTTCATAATGCAGGGAGAAAAGTTCAATTGTGCTTTGGTCACACTTCTATGATTTTATATATTTTCTTAAAAAATCAATACTGCCTCCAACTTATTTAAAAGAACACATAAATAAAAGCCTACTCCTCTATGTGATGGTTCACTGTTTAGATTTATTACTTGGAAGTTTTGTGTGTATTGCTGGCCATGACTTCCTTGAGTGTCTTTGCAGCTCCAAAATTTAGAAGTTTGGTTTCAACGGCCAAAAGATGTTGTGCGGAAGTTGGTTTCTGGGGATCTAGACCTTGGTATTGTTGGTCTGGACACAGTTTATGAATATGGACAGGTAAGTTCTGAATATCAAGAATGATTGAATTATCTTTTTCTTGAGTAAGGCAGTGTAGCTAGAGCGGAGAAATGTAAATCTGGTTTAATGTTGTAACAGAAAAATAATGATTCTTTTGTCCTTCAATCTGTTTTCTTCACAGGATTTTTTGAGCAATGTTACTGACTCGAATAGTTAAATAATTGCACACTTGAAATTGTGTATATCTCCATGTTGTCTGGAGAATTGTACACTTGATTAAGACATTTGGCATGCTATGTTTTTGATAAAGTTATCACAGTTTCATATGGTCACTAATAGCGATGTTCCCTTAGCTTAGTAGCTATATAATTATATTTGTTTTAATCAATGAAGAGAGCACAAGAGTGAACTGATCATGATTTCTCTGTTCATTCTAATTCATTTTCTGCAGTTTAGTAGAATTGCTATGTTCTTTGCTGACTATTTGATTTTCTCTTGGCAGGGGAATGAAGATCTCATTATTGTTCATGATGCTCTTGAGTATGGTGATTGTCGATTATCTCTGGCTGTAAGTAATTATGAACTCTTTATTATACCAAAACATGCTAATTCTGTCATGTTATGCTCATAGTCATATCACCATAAGGCTATTCTGATAAAGATGTGGAACTGTATATAATATATGTGCGTGTATCTGCAGATTCCAAAGTATGGAATTTTTGAGAATATAAACTCATTGAAGGAGCTAGCAGAAATGCCACATTGGACACCTGAGAGACCCTTGAGAGTAGCTACAGGATTCACATATGTATGGTGTACTAGCCTTGTGCAATGTGACTTTTTCCTCTTCTTTTCTTTATTTGTTTATTACAATAATCATTGTTGTTGCCGTCATCATTATTAGTTTTTGAATTTCTTGAAATTTAATATTCCCGATTTCTTTCACAGATGGGACCTAAGTTTATGAATGACAATGGATTGAAGCATGTTACCTTTTCAACTGCGGATGGAGCACTGGAGGCAGCTCCAGCAGTAAGAACAAATATAAATATTGGGTTAATCTTATGACATAATTTCTCTTTCAATTTCTTTTGAGTATGGGTCAACATTTTTTTATTTTTTATTATTTTTTTTTATTTTTTATTTTTTAAATTCTACTGTTGTTTCCTCATTTCTTTATAATTTAGATGGGGATAGCTGATGCAATTGTGGACCTTGTGAGTAGTGGAACAACATTGAGAGAGAACAATCTGAAAGAGATTGCAGGTGGAGTCATCTTACAAAGTCAGGTAATTCATCTGGCTCTGATGTTTTGAAAGTATACATAATTGAGTGCAATGACCTTTGATCCTATATTTCCTGCACAGGCTGTCCTTGTTGCTAGCAGGAAATCATTGACTCAGCGTAAGGGTGCACTAGATATAACACATGAAATGCTTGAAAGGCTGGAGGCACATTTACGGGCTACTGGTCAATTCACGGTGTGTATAATTTTCCTCTTCTTTTTGTTTACTAGCTCTTGAAACTTTTGGTTCTAATACATTTATACATCGCATGGTAGGTAGTAGCCAACATGAGGGGAAGCTCTGCAGAGGAAGTGGCTGAGCGTGTATTGAGCCAACCTTCATTATCAGGGTTGCAGGTAATCCCTAAATGGACTAGTGTGTTACTGAAGAGATTAATATATTACCGAGTAAAAAATTACCTACCAGCCTTGGACACAGTGATACAAACCGTCATGACCACACTGCATAAATTGCATAAATTGATTATTGCTAGACACTCCAACTAACTTAGACGTGCCTTGTTTTTTTAAACATAGGGACCTACAGTAAGTCCGGTGTTTTGCAAACGGGATGGTCGAGTAACGGCAGATTACTATGCAATTGTCATATGCGTACAGAAAAATGCATTGTACAAGTCTGTGCAGCAGCTGAGGGCGGTGAGACTCATACACCACATATTGTTATATACTTGTAATCAAGTTAACCTTCATATATATTGTAGCTTCTCTGTCCCAAACAAGTATAGGGTGATTGGTCTCTTGAATAGTTTTATTGCTTAAATTAATAGATCAATTGCTTGTTAATTGGTGCCCTGTTGGCAATAGGAAGCTTTCTTGTGATTTCAATACACTTGTGTTAGTCTTCATCAGTGCGAATATCATTATTATATTGCCTCACTAGAAATTTCAGAATTTTGGATTGTTTTGAACCATTTAGAATTTTTGTGGCTCTACCAGCCTCTTGGCTTTGGGGTTTACTTGAATGAAGGAAATATAAGAAAGGTTGGAGAACTAGAAAAGTATATGTATATTAAACTGAGATCTTGTGCCTCTAATGTTAAGAGGAAAATTCATTTGACCAATTTAGATACCTCACACGTGTGCTAGCTATTTGTGCATGTGGCTTCCCTCTAAATTTGTACTCCACAAGTCTTACATTTTCATATCTTTGTAGCTCATCAATTGTTTTCTAATGCACAGATTGGAGGCAGTGGTGTTCTGATTTCCCCATTGACCTACATTTTTGACGAAGAAACCCCTAGATGGCGTCAGCTTCTCTCCACTTTGGGCCTTTAAGTGTTTCATTATGTGCTCTGAAAGGTTTTCTGCATTATCAAGTGCATTATAAGAGCCGCCCGAATACCCCAATATTCATGTCTCGAATGGATGCACCTACATAGGAACAACTTTAGGAGCTGGATTCTTTTGGTACCCGTTTGCTGTATTTTTATCGGTTTGCTTATCTATTTGCAACAAGTTTTCAGGCCAACTTTGGGCTTTGGTGTATTCTTTTATGTTCCCCTTTTTTTCTGCTTTAAGTTGATAGCCACTTCTTTAAGTTATAAGTTATTTCTTCAAGACTTCCAGTAGCTTATAGTTTCACTTGAAAGAACTGTTAGATTCATTGTTGCTTGTGTTGCATACTTGCACCTCAGTAGTCACTCCACTTCTATCTACCAGTCCCCTGATACTTCTGCAGACTCTGTTTCTAGGGCCTTTGTGGCATATTGCTAATTTGCTATATATTGGTATTGTTCCTTTTTTTTTTTTTTTTTAGTAGGCAATCCACTACTAACACTCTGCAGATTGCCTGGTTCTGGGGCATATTGCCATTTTGGTATTGTTCCTTTTTTTTTTTTTTTTGGAGAAATAAAATTTTAATACTTTGTATTTAAGGTTGATTATTATTTGTGCAGATTAAGGATTTAAAATATAGTAAAACAAATAATATAAGATATTCTGAATGCAAATAAGTTGACATTGAATGAGTATATGTGTTTCATTATTGAGTTACTTTTAACTTGTTTTAATATATTAAAATTTAATTCACTTAAATTGATTTGTAGTTTGAAAATACACTCTGTGTATAATTAAAAGCTTATATTTTACTTTTCAAAAAAAAAAAAAAAAGCTTATATTTTATCATATTATATATTTTAAATTTAGTTCAAATTTTCTCTATAGTGTTTTAAAAAAAAAACTCATCGAGATGATAACTTTTAAACTTAGATCTTTCTTTTTGAATGCTACTGGCTCTATTACATTGTAGTATCTGTTCATATACTTTCTCAACCTACTGAAACACAAAAAACCAATAACGCCTCTACTAAGGCTCGAACTCGTAACCTTTCAAATAAAAATTCAATCCGAGTATCATTAGACCACATAGTCTTGGTCTATTATACAGTATATTGATATAATATATAATTTATTTATTACAAATTATGGGGAAAGCTAAAGAGTTGTTGCATGTTGTGACTAAACATGGTTCTAACTTCTAAGCTCAAGAGAGAGGTTCTCATAAATGGGATAAATCGGATGGTCTCATTAAAATCACATGGAGGAACTGCGAGGAACTATTTGAGAGTTGTTGTAAGGTGGATTCTGGTCCTAAATGACGTATAAAGTGTGCATTTTAATATTGAAATTGTGAATTTTTAAAATATAAATTGTGTTTCTAAATCAAAACACATAACAATTGTATAAGAGAATTTGTGAATGCAATACATAATAATCATCAAATCTTAATATATTAATATTGTATGTTTCCAGTTTCAAAGGAACTTGAATACAAAACAAGGTAATCAATTACATATATGTTAACATTGTGTTTTCGTAGTATACAAATTGTAAATTTTTAAAAGATAAATTGTGAACATTTAATATATAAATTGTGAATATTTAGACTAAGGTCCATCTTGCGGCCACCTTGCAAGGTGGACCTGATTCACAGAATAATTTGCGCCTGAATAGCAGTCGTTATATCGTGGACCGCGGTGCACGTGCACCGGGGTCAAAACGGCATTGTTTCTTTATGTAAAGAAACGACGCACGCGTTAGTTTTAACGGAACGCGCATTTTTTTTTTTTTTGTATACTAATTACCAACTGACACTACAGTATATCTAAACCGACACTACTTCACGTATTATTTTTATATTATCAAATGAAACTGCAATTATATTAAAATGATATTGTAGTTGTGGTGAAATGAAACTGCTGTGTATATAAAATGAAAATGAATAACATTTCACATATTTGAGTATATATTATACAATGAAGTTGTAATTATATCAAAATGATCATGTAGTTGTGTTTTAATAAAACTATAGTGTATATAAAATAAAATTAAATAACATTTTCACATATTTGAGTCTATAAATATCGAATGAAACTGTAGTTATATCGAAATGAAACTGTAGTTGTGTTGAACCGAAACTGCAGTGTATAGAAAATGAAACTGAATAACAGAGTTACTTTTTGCGAAAGAATGCGGAAAGACGGGAAACAAATGTCGTTTCTTTTCATTACAAACGGCGTCGTTTTGATCCGCGCTGCACGATATAATTTGCCCCCTGAATAGTACTTGGGCCACTACTCAAGTCATTGGGTCGAGTCTCAAATACATTATACGAGATTGGACCGGCCCTATTATATGCGGTCCATCTCTAACTGTACCTACGCCGATCGCACCGTCGTCGTCGACTCGTCGGTAAAATCTCCGGCCACCATTTCAGTCGTCACTCTCTAGTCAATACACGCAACTTCATTGCGGAGATATCAGTCCGCAAAATTCCTCGTGTATATATACATATATATATAAGCAGTCGACTAATACGCATTCGGATACGAAATGGCTCCGAAGAAGAAGCAGCAACAGCAAAAGCAGAAGCAGAAAGCTTCCTCATCATCTTCGTCGAAAGGCAAGGCTCCGTCGTCGGCCGGTCCGAAGCTGCAGATATCGGCCGAGAACGAGAGCCGGTTGCGGCGGCTGTTACTGAACTCCGGCCGGTCTACGGCTCCTGCTCCGGTTGATGATTCACTCTCCCAGGCGCAGAAGGCCAAAAAGCTTCGCTCCATTTACGAGAAGCTATCATGTGAAGGCTTTAAGGATGATCAAATCGAGCGCGTTCTCTCCGCTCTCAAGGTGCAATTGTCCTGTCCTTTTCAATTACATTATTATTATTATACTGTATATACACATATATGACTATCAGTCTCTAAATATTGCATTGTATGCTATCATTAATCGTATATAAGACAAACTATCCTTTCTATGATCTCTTCAACTTAATCTTTTAATGCAACTTCAAGCATGCTATATGGACTGATTTCAGCGACAATTTATAGTTCCTAGGTGATTATGGTTCTTATCTTACAAAACTTGAAATAATGGTAGAATCGTGCGGACTATAATTTTAATTTCAATAACAAGTTCACTGAAGATTTGTTGTATTTGTACTACAAAGGATGGTGCAACATATGAGGCTGCTCTAGATTGGCTATGCTTAAATTTGTCTGGTGATGAGCTTCCACTGAAGTTTGCTGGTGGCACTTTGCACTCAAATGAAGGTATGATACACCAATTTTGCTTTGGATTTGATGTTCTGTATCTACGTTGATAAAAAATGGAGTTAAAAGCATGCTTAATGCATATCACAACAGGTTCTGTTAGCATCATATCAACTGCACGAGAAGATTGGGTTCCTTCCACAGATTCATCAGCTGCAGGAACAAGGGAGGAAATATCAGAGGTTTTCATAACAACTAAGGAGCAAAGGGTTAATGAAACTCTTGATTCCGTCGAGCGTTCTCAAGCAGATTGGATCCGGCGGTATATGGAACAACAAGAAGAGGTATTATCATTGGTCTATTTTAATGACAAAGGGCACAAAAAGTTGGATTTTTGCTAGAGAATACACAAGACTATTTATTTCCTAATTCTCTCCTTATTTGTTCTTGGTTATTCATCATTCCTTTCTAACTTTGTGCTACTTTCTTTATCATGCAGGATGAATCTGAATCTGAATCTGGCCTGTTTGCTGATGCTTCCTCAAAGCAGGTACTTGCCAATCTAAATGGTTTCATGTTATTACATGTTGAGGGTAGCCTCTGAATTACCTTATTTAGTCATGATGAGATTTAGAGTTATTCTGTCATTGACTTATTCTTTGTGTTATTGGGTATGGTACCAACTTCCAAGGTTACTATAGTGTCTCTTGATTGTGCTGGTTGTGGCATAGTGTAAGTGTGACATTTTTGTGAATTGCAATTTATAATGCTAACTTCATTGGTAGTATTTTCTTCTCTTCTTTCTATATATTCTTAGAGATCTCTTCTCGTAGCTATATTATTCAGAGTTGATATTTGTGATGTGCACTAGTCAAAATATTTTGGTCCTGTAAATCTCATAGTAAATGTATCCCTGTACAATTTCTGAATTTTCTATCGAACTCTCTGTTACCCCAAGACTAGGACTTTGTCTCAAAATGTCAAATCCAATTTTCTTGCTTGGGTTTAGTTCCATATGACTTTTACTTTTTATCTTTTGATTTTGAAACTCTAGTCAGCCTGGCAACCTTAATGTTTATGTTAGCATTTTCTCTGTTCTATAATATTATGGAATGGGCATTCAACTGAGACTTGCTATCAATTTCTCAGTATATGTTACGCTTTCTTTGTCAATAGAGTCTACAATCAAGGCGTAGTCATGAAACTATTGTACAAGAGTTTCATACTGCAAGGCTGGAAGCTATTCGTGCAAAAGAGACTGGTGACAAGAAAGGCCAAGAGCAAGCAAGCAGAACTATCCGCAAACTCAAGCAGGAGATATCTGCCCTGGGTAACAAAATTCTGCCTATTACAATCTGATACTCCATATTTCCTTTGAGCTGCTTACTAAGTGTGGTTAACTTGATTCAGGATTGTCAGATACTATCCTGGAATCTGGATATGAAAGTTTTTCCCACCAGGCTCTGCAGGACTTGTCTTGCCCTTCCATACCTTCTGAGAACTTGGAAGCTGATGTTGTTACTTTACAAAATGGAGAAGATTGTATAACTTCCAGTCTCCATGAGTGGGAATTAAACGTGGATAAAAAGGTCGCTGGGTTGTCTACTGAAGAGGACGCTGTGAGTGTCTCCATACCTGAAAAGACTGAATCAGAAGGAGAATCAGCAGATGTAGAACTTGGTAATTTTCTCTTTGAAGAGGCCTCAGCTGCTGAGTTGCCTGCTGAAGTTTTGGAACGGCAGAAAAAAGAGAAGTTGAGAGAACTGTTGAGTGAGAAAAACTTAGAGAAGCTAGAAGGTATATGGAAGAAGGTAAATATTGCTGAGTGTGATGAGCTTGTTCTTCTAATACTTATTTCAAGGCAGACGGAAGATAAAGTAGTTGCTGCATGATGACTTTTAGCTTAGCTCAAACTGCTTTCTGTCTACTCTAATTTATTTTATTTTATTTTATTTATTTATATTTTCCTGTTGGTGTTGTGTGTTTTTGTGTGTGGATTCAAAGCCTTTGTCCTAATAATAGGAGTCAAACCAACTAACCTAAAAAAAAAAAAAAAAAAAAAACCAACTAACCTCAATTAAACCTGTTGCTTACTGATCCTACAACACATATTGCCTTGCTTGAATTTTGAAATCCCCTCCTTTCTCCTTGAATTTATGTATATGTTC